TGGGAGAATTCGGGTCCATTGAAAAAAGACAGGGGCACACACCGGGAGAAGGGACATGGCCACAACACAACCAAGCCAGGGGCGCTCACATATCCATAACACAAGGGAACACCAACACTCGCATTTGCATAACAAAAAAGATATGCAAATAACCCACAAAGGTCAACATTTACAAAATAAAGACAAGGAAGCCCTGGATTCAGGAGGAAAGGAAGAAAGCCCAGAGGGAAGCAGGGGGGACAACCTCACGAGGCCCATGGGAAGGTCAACCTTGGAGCCCAGGACGTACTAGGCGCAGTGATGGCGAACCTAAGACACCTCTGACACGCGAACTCACTTTTTTGGTTGATGTTCCTTTGTTAAATGGCATTTGAATATATAAAATAAATATCAAAAATATAAATCTTTGTTTTACTATGGTTGCAAAGATCAAAAAATTTCTATGTGTGACACGGCACCAGAGTTAAGTTAGGCTTTTTCAAAATGCTGGCACGCTGAGCTCAAAAGGTTCTCCATCACTGGACTAGGGGAACCAACTCCAAGGGGAATATGGACCCAGGCACCAAGATCTGCACCCTTGACAGGACATAGGGAAAGGAACCCGGTGGGACCCCTTTCACCCTCCCTACGTGGCAGTCTGCACTTCTTCTTCAACACATCTCCACACTGGCTACACTTTCTGGCCGGAAATTCATTCTGCCATTCTGGCGGGAAAAAAACACGGCTTCCAGTACAAAAAGGACGTAGCCACAGGATCCCCCCTTTCATACACCCGCTACAAAGGGGCACCTCTGCCTCGGTGCCCACTCAGGAGCCTCACATTGTGCACGGATGACAAGCAAATCTGTCCAACACACACGCGCACACACACACACACACACACACACACACACACGCACGCACACACGCGCACACAAACATTCCTCCTCAGCTAGGTCTTGGCTCCACCTGCTGGACAAGCAGGGACAAGCATTTCCAATTGCAATCCTCTCACCAACAGGGACAGACACACATGGGCTCCCAAACAGCTTCCTGGGAGGAACTTTACAATACTAGGATGCTCTCTTCCCTCCAGCCTTCCATTACAAGGAACAGCTTTTCATTAGGAATACCTGTGCTTTCAGAAAAAATCTTCTTTCTGTAGCCTCATATTCCCACAAGGAGTGGAAGAAAAAATATAGCATAGAAACCTTTCACTTTCAACAAAGAGGCTTCACTTTCCTCAGCTGATTTCACACACAGTGATTTTGGCATTTGAACTTCAAGGGATTCACAACATTCAGAAGCGAGGACGCACTGCTGGATGCTGATCACATTCACATTGACGATACGGAACATAGCACAACAGTCCTACTTCATCGCATGGCCCCTTCAACAGGAATGCCTATGCATGCCACGTGCTCAAAACAGGGCAGAAGTACATGTTTATTTCCGATTACGGTGGATGGAAATGGTTTCAAATTGACATCTTTCACAGGGAATATGAGCACTAGCCCATGCTGCTCGCTCCATCAGCTTCACAGATACACCTGCTACAACCAACACTCTCTGCTCTCTTTCAAAAGGCCACAAAATCAGCAGCTTGGACACGCTCAGAAAGTCACCTCAGAGGGAACCTCAGTGCACCTGTCTCCAGGATGCCCCTTCAAAGGGCTGCAAGGGGTGCACAACCCACAGCAAAAACAGTGACTTCAGGGAATTCGTTCTCATCAAGGATTCTCTCTCAGCACGGATAGTTCTCTCTCTCTCTCTCTCTCTCTCTCTCTCTCTCTCTCTCTCCCTCCCTCCCTCCCTCCCTCATGCCCTCCCACCCTCCTGCCCTCTCTCTCTCTCTCTTCCTTTCTAAAATAATAAAAAATAAATAACTTCCTACCAAAATAAAAACATGGTTTCTGCAACAAGCCATTCAGCAGAATATTTTTCTTGGGGTACTAACACGTTCCCATTACAAAAACTGACTGCGTCTATCTAGCCCCACCCAAAACAATGACAGCCTCCCCGGGACTGACTGCACCCAAAGTGGCGGTCTCACGGTATGGACAGACTTAACATGGACAGCCTTGCCTCACCGCTACTAAATGACTAACTGTGGAAACAATGGCAGCCTCCACATCAATAGCTGCCTACTTCTTCAGTCATGGCCATCCCCAAGGAAATGGCTGCCTCAATCACAGCGGCCTCCAGGTCACTGAGGGCCTCAACCATGGTCGCCTCTCCATGACCATCGCGGGAATAACATGTTCTCGCCAGACCCCAAACACTCCAAGGAAAGACTGAAGGCTCCACAATCGCAGCCTCCTGGGAAATGATGACTCACTGCCTCAACAAGGCCCACCTACAGGGGACCAGCTCACATCCTCAACGCACCGGATCACCAGGCCAGGGCAGCGCTCTCTGAGGCCTCCCTCTGCAGGCCTGGGCCACAAACTGGTCACACATCTACACCCGTCACTTCACTCCATTCAGCCACGGAATCATGGCCGCCCTGGACAGCCTTTGGGATTTTCCGGGATTTCTTTTTTGGGGTTTTTCCGGAGACATTTTAGGGGACCTGACATTTCAGCACCAAGGACAAAACCACACTGTGTTTTCCTGCAACGGCCACGAGAGCGCGGCAGAGGATCGCTTGGCCGCAGGGATGGCCTCACAGGCAGCGTCCTTTCACCTTGGCTCCTCCGAGATGCTCTCTTCTCAGTGCAAACACAAGAAAAACTCTGGGAAATTGTGGAGCACAAAACGCCACATTTCTAAATCGGCGCCTCCTCATGCGCAATAACACAAGGAAGCACAGAGGGGAATCCTAAGCTTTAGGTCCTTCCCTGGAATGGAACGGACCTGCTGTGGGGCAACCGGTAAGAGACGACCACCAGAGCCAAAGGGTAGAATTTAGGAGCCTTTTTAGCTGGACAGCGACCGCAGTTACAGCACCCTGCCGTAGCAAGGACCTAACTGCAGACCCGACCAGATGTACAAGTAAGCTTTTATTCACAAAAACCACAAAACAGTTGGCTAAACACACACAAAGTTCGTCGCTCCATTTCTCAACACAGGTCACAGACTCATACCTTTGAAAGGCCACAGGTTACACACTCATACCTTAGAAAGGTTAGGCTCTTCACCCCTGACTAAACCGTGACCTGCTTGTAAAAAATGTTAACAGGAAGCTGTGGTCTTTGGACCACTGAGTTGACAGAAACACATCTAGAGCCCTCGGGTCTTGGGACCACTGAGTTCACAGGGAAACATTATCTGCAACCCTCAGGTCTAAGGATAATTGTGCTGTCCTGGTTCTCAGGGACAGAGGAATTTGCTTTCTAACACCAGTAACATCACAATCAATGGGACATTCACATTATAATCAAGAAGGCATTCAATCGAATGGGATTATTTATGCAATTCAGAAAATCAAAATGACTTTTCTATTGTTAAGCCAAACTGCAGGGTTAGAGTTAAACTATAGTTTCTACCTGGGATGATTGCTACCATACTTCACCTTGATGTACTAGAATCCGCTCCAGATGAGAACAATGGTGCTACAACGGTTACTAGCAACCTAGAAAGGTTGGCACAACTATAGCTGTGACAAAATGGGTTTTCCTGCTGTGAGGCTAGGGCAGAGAATGTGAGGGCAGGCCTGTCTTCTGTTCTCTTATTTACAGCTATGACCTCAGGGAAAATCTGCCCTCTCCCCCTCCACACTGCCAACACCCCTCCTACCCAGGTCCCCGGCCTGTGCTTCCTGGAAGAGGTAGTAGAGGCATCCTGAAGTCAATGGCTGAGAAGGAAGGTGCATTTAAGCAGCAAAGCAGCACCTTGGCCTGTGGTCTACACCTCCACACAGGTGGAATCAAGTGAGAACGTGCACAGCCAGGGCAGAGGATGCTGCGAGCGTGGAAGGCACCATCCTCCCAGGCAGCTCTGGAGAACACACTTTCAAAAGACTCAAACTTAATCCCATGGTCCCCAGTGGTTTCCCTATCAAAAGCAAAATTATCTCGGCAGAGCGTTAATGAAGAAAGGCAGGGATATTAATGAGCATCTGTGAGCGCTCTCTTTCTCTCCCTCAAGCCTAAGGAAATAAGATATTCGAGTGTTAAGAGAGAGGTAGAGAGAGAGAGTAGGAACACCAAGAAAGAACTGCAACTGCTGGTTATATAGTGCCCTGGCTTCCTTCCCTGGCTTCCGTCCTTGCTCCCCGGCGCTCTGCCCAAGCTCCCCGGGCTGGGCTTGGTTAAATACTCGCTGGGTGATTGAGTACTCCTGGTGTGGGAGTAAGTAATTAAGCTGAGGAGGCTCTGAGAGCTGCCAGATGCATGCCTGGGGGTGTTCTAGGGGTGTTCCCAGGCCCTGCTGGGCCAGAGCCACTGCTCCTGCCCAGGGATTAAGCTGGCAGCCTGGGCTCCTTGCAGGCCCCCCATGGCCAGGCCGCCCCCCTGCCTCCAGGCTTCTGTAGCTGCCATGACAGGGGCACAGCGCCCACCCTGCCTCGCCTGAGCTCAATCCCGGATGGCCGTGATGCCGTTGCCCCATTTTGCTTCCATTAAAAATGTCTGTGTATTTCCAACCCTCAGCAACCGGCTTCCGCCAGTGGAGGCAGCCTGCGCCCTGGGCGAGGTCACCCCGAGGAGACCAGGGGCCTGTGGCTGCCACAAAGGTGGCTGTGAGCACAGGGGTTGAGGTTGGGGCCACACCAAGGCTCCAGGGTCTTCACGGCCTGGCAGGCTGCCCACAGGACCCCGCTCAGAGGAGAGGGACGCCTGCCTGGGCGGGGAGGGGCCCGGGTGCTGAGACCGCGCCCCTAGGGTCGCCCTGGCTCAGCCTGACTGGCTCACGCTGGCACCGGCCAAGCCCCCTGGGCCACCTTCCTGGGGCTGCCCGCGCCCAGCCCCGCCCCCGCCCCCGCCCCGCCCCCGCCCCGCCCCCGCCTCCAGGCCCACTTCCGTATACGTGGCGGAGTCACGTGTTAGGAATACGGGCGTGAAGCCAGCGCCACCATGTTGATTTATGGCAGCGCTACGTCCGGGCAAGAATGCGGCCACGGACCAGCCGCCCGAAGTTCTGGCCCTTGTGCGCAAGTGCGGAAGTGTACTGGCCCCGAGTGTGACCGGTTTCCGGCCGGTGGTGCTGCGCCGGCTTCCTGAGACGTGTAACGGCTGGTGGGCCGCAGCCATGGCTGAGAGGAAACCTAATGGTGGGGGTGGTGCCGCCTCCACCTCCTCGTCCGGCACTAATTTACTCTTCTCATCCTCGGCCACAGAGTTCACCTTCAACGTGCCCTTCATCCCGGTCACGCAGGCCGCCGCTGCCTCCGCCTCCTTGCTCCTGCCTGGAGGTAGTACGGAGAGGGTTCCGGGGGACGCGTCTGTGAGGGGAACGGGGCGGGGGCCTGCGGTGACGAGGGTCGGACTGGAGGTTTTCCTTCGGTCGCCACCCGCCTGGTGGGTGGCTGCCAAGGCCGTTGGTGGGCAGTGTGAGCGGCTTGGGTGCTTTGGGACTCGGAGGCGGGGTCGGTCCCAAGGCTTCCTTTGCGCCCCTTGAAGGACCCGTTCGGAGGCCGGACACTCCTGCCTGGCGGCCCACACGTTTGGTTGAGCACTTACTGGTGTGGCAGGTCCTGGCGGGAAATGCAGGTGACTTAGCGCCCCCCCTTTCAGGATGCCGAGGATGTCCCCCAGGATACGTGGGCGCCTCCCAGGATGCACCGTCTTGAAAGAGGAGGGTTGCAGCCTGTGCCTCTCTGTGCGGATACTGCCTGTCTGGGCATCACCGCCTCCTGCGCGCCTTCCGGTTCCCCTCGGTCCCCACTCCTGTGTGCGCCTTAGCTCCTTGTCCGCATGTTTACTCCTGGGGAGAGATGGCTTTTTAACAACTATGTGGCATAACCCAGAGGGTGGTGTTTAGAAGCATAAACTGTTCCAGCTCCGGTCCTGCAGGAACTCACTGTGACCTCAGGCCTGGTACTGTACCTCTCTACACTTCAGTGTCCACTATGTCCAGCCTCATAGGGCTGTAATGAGAAATGAATTGAGTTTTAAAAAAATATTTGTGCTGATTTCCGAGAGGAAGGGAGAGGGGGAGAGATACAGACATCAATGATGGGAGAGAAACATTGATCGGCTGCCTCCTGCACATCCCCCACTGAAGATCCAGCCACAAACTGGGCATCTTCCCTTGACCAGAATCGAACCAGGGACCCTTCAGACAACAGTCAATGCTCTATCCACTGAGCCAAACTGGCTAGGGCAATGAATGGGTTTTTGTAAGGCACTGAGTACAGTGCCTGGCACACAGTGCTATATAAATGTTTGTGAAATAAACACGCATGTCTGTCTGGAATGTGGGCTTTTTGAAGGTGAGACTTATTTACCTTTTTGTTTTTAGATCTTTAGTGACTATCACATAGATTCTTACTCAAGGGTACATATTTTCCCACTGAATATTCTTGCTTAAAGGACGAAAGTCTCATGGAGAAGTGAAGGGCAAACTGGAGGCACTTGCACGTGCAGATTCCCTTTCACTTGTGTTATGTTTCTTCTTGGTGCTTATCACCACCCGACAGGTACACATATTTGTTTATCTTATCCCACTGCAATGTAAGTTTCATGAGAGCAGGAATTTATACCTAGAACAAGGATTTGAAGGATGAGGAAGGGCATGGTATGCGGTAGACCAGTTTTTTAATCGATATTTGTTGAATGAATGAAAGGATGGGCGTCAGGAATATGTACCTCTTGTTTTGAAAACTGGTGGGAAGGTTAGGCATTGCCGTTTTCGTAAAGGACTAGCCTGGCTGTAGGAAGTTGAAGGAATACATAAGGTCATACATGCAGCTAATTCTGTAACAATTATTTTTCCATCTATAAAAAGGATTTGGTCACAGCCGCCATAGCTCAATGGATTGAGTGTCCTCCCATGCACCAGTATGGAAGGGTACGCAGAAATTAGGGCATTGGGAGAGATAGGCGTATGTAAAAGTCTCAAGTGTGGGAAAACCTGCAGATTTGTCAGGATTTGGTGGTAGCTGCTCACATTCTCTTTCCTCCCACTCTTCGTCTCTCTTCCTGTCCCTTCTTCCCCTCTCCCAGGAGATCGGTGTGACTATAGTGTGTGTAGGCGGTGAAATTAGAGGTGTGTTTTGGAAAGACTGGAGTGTTGTGAGCTTGCACTAGAATAAAGCCTGCTGTAGCAAGAGCCACCAGCCTGGAGGCCATTGTGAATCGGGCAGGCGTGGATGGCACTGTAGCCATAATCAGCCACATGGGGCATAAAGAGCAGGGAATGGATAGGAGAGATTTCAGACCATAAAAGTGTTGGGACTTAGGGACCCACTGGTGACCAGACTGTCTGCTCTTTGAACACAGATGCTCCTTCTCATTCAGTTTTAGCCCCCAGACCTAGCTTCAGTGCCTGGCACATAACTACTTTGTACATATGTCTTGAATGAGGATCTGAATAATTGAATGGAGAGTATGAGAGAAGGAGAGGCGTCCGTGAGATGTGGTTTCTGGTTTGAGAGGATGGGTAGATGTGGTGTTAGTGAGATGTGGTGCAGGCGCACATGGGAGGACAGTGAGGATGATGGACTCCGTTTTAGGTGTCCTACTGTGCCTGCCACAGTATCGAGGAAGCGGTTGGAAAATAGGTTCAGGAACAGTGAGCACAATCTCATTCGATATGGACTTGGGAGTGTCACAGGATACAGGTAGGTGCTCACTAAAGTTGTGTGTCCACATGTCATTAGAAAGTGCCCCTGAGGTGAGGCTGGATCATGATGAGATCAGTATTTCCTTTGTAATTGATGCTAATCTGGAAAAAAGCTTCTTGAATCAGTTGATCCCTAAGTCATCTTAAAGGATGAAACTCACCACAGACTTTTCTCCTCCCTGTTTTCAGTGGTTGAGAGGTGGACAAAGAAATACAGATGAATCCACATGAGGTTTACATAACTGAAAAGAGAGTGGGAACTGGAAATACATAAGAAAAGCAGAATAATAAAAGCAGACAGGGGCCCTTGGGCAGGCCGAGGTATTTTATTTTTAGTCACAAAGGAACAACCTAGAAGAGTATTTGGAATAGTGGATTATCTTAGTTAAATTGATGAAATACAGTAGAAGCAACCTAAAGACTTCATCCAGAATCTCAGCAAGCCGTGCCCTGCTCTAGCAGGTCAGTGTGGAGCCCAGAGCTTGAAAGAAGGCTCCCTTTGTCAGGTCTCAAGGCAGGGGCCTCAGTGTGCCTGTGTGCCGGGCGTGGGTCCACCTCTGATTTGCTCCATGCCTTCAGAGGTAGGAGATAGAGAGAATGAAACAGGAGAAGGAAAAGCTTAGGAAGAGGACAATGGAAGTGACAACAAGCTAAAGGCTCGTGAGAGTTTAGTAAGGCTGGTCTTTTGAGGCTATGTAGAGAAAAAATGCTCTTATTTTACAAGTTGGAAAAGAGAGAAGATAGATAGTTTGATGCTGATAATACCCGCAGTGAAGATCAAGTTGGGCAAAGGGAATCGAGGAGAACTTACCTGGCTAGAAAATGACTTTTCTAGTGATTTGGTGCTCGGTCATGATGGGTTATCTGGTTGGAGACTCTGATTTTAGGGATGGCAGTTCGTTGTTGGCCTACTTTGCCTGTACCTGTGAATACGAATTCCACATGTTCATTTGTACAGTGAGTGCTTTATGGGTAAGAGCCCTGACACACCCTGCTTGTCAACAGAGTGAGTATCTGTACTTTAGGTTCTTGTCATGACTTTGGAAATAAAATTATGTGTATTAGATTTTTTACCAGGAAAAAAGGGAGCATGCACAAGAAGATGTAAAATAGTAGATACAGATTTTGTTTATAATTTTTAAAATGTCTAAATACAAATATGTATAATTTCTATATATTTACAAAATAAATAATGTCTAACTCTATTATTTAAAAAGTATGGAAAGGTATGCACCGAAGTATTGTTGAAGGTGATTATCTCTGGGTGGTGGGCTAATGAATAAATTATAATTTTTCTTCCTTTGGTTGTTTCCTATTCATATTTTTCAGTTTTTCATTACAAAGAGAAGTTTTCAAATAAAAAATAAACGTTTTTCCTTTTTTCTTCCTGTAAATGCAGACATGTAATTTGGAACAACACAATGAGAGGTACAAGAACTAGGTCTATAGAATGATAGCATACCTTCTAAACCATTTGCTCTTTTGTCCCTTTCAGAGGATTCCACAGATGTTGGGGAGGAGGACAGCTTTCTTGGTCAGACTTCTGCTCACACATCTACCCCGCAGACATTTAGTTACTTCTCTCAGGTATCAAGCAGTAGTGATCCATTTGGGAATATTGGACAGTCACCATTAACAACTGCAGCAACATCACCTGGACAATCGACATTCTCCAAGACCCCAGCTGCTCTCCCTTTTACAACCGGATCCCAAGATGTGTTGAATACATTTCCACCATCCTTTTCAAAGGATCAGTATGTTGCTCCAGCTTCTTCACAGACGGGCACAAATGCTTATTTGCCTGTGCAGCCAAGTAGTCTCCCTCCTTCAAATGTTGGGAGCCCACCCCAAGGAGTATCCCAACAAGGATACAATCCCTATCGCCATACTCCCGTAAGCAGCAGAGCGAATCCTTACATTACACCACCACAGCTGCAGCAGTGCCAAACACCAGGCCATCCCACCCATCTGCCATCCTCTGGACCCCATGTCCACATGTACCAGATGCCTCCAGGATCTCTGCCACCGGTATGGAGACATGTTTTTGTATCCTAATTATGCACTTTAGTTTTTAATCTCTCTCACTTAGCCTATGCTTTTAGAAACACAATGCTTTTTATAATATATATGATGACAAAATATTTTCAGAGGATATTCTTTGTAAGATGTATGCTTTGAAGCAAATGTTCTTTTACAGGTAGCTCATTGAAGGTTCACATTTTAGTTCTCATCTGTACTGAAGTAGTAACTGATTTTAAGAAGTTAATCTGTGCTGGAATTTTTAGATTTCAGTGTAAGGTACCAATGATAAATGTGATCTAAGGACCAGTGAGAGTTGAAACAATTATTATCTTAAAACACTGCCAACATCTCATTTTTAATTATACTATTCAATCAAGATACTAAATTATAGGGACTAAAATTGATTACTCCTGTAATTTCTTTTATTTACATTTATGGAATTTGGATCTAGACAGTTAACCTCAGTCTCAGGAGGGTAATGGAGTAACATTTACATTGGGTTATGAAATTCCCTTATGTTTTTTCCCCATCTGATACCCAACTGTGACTTCGAAAGGGAAATCAACTAAAACAAAAAAAAATGGAAACCATTAAAAGATAGCAGTATCATTATGAGTGTAACCTAACTTTACTCTTGGGGACAGAGAATGGCTTTCATTTTACTTAATTAAAATCATACTGATGCCCAGACTCTTGATAATGGGTCCGAAGCATCTACGAAACTGTCCTTGGAGCTGGCATGACAGTCCTAACTTTGTCGTCCCCTCCAGGTTCCTCCTTCAGTGCAGTCAGGGCTGTCCCCTCCAGCACAGCAGCAGGCACTCGCTAGACCTGTGGGCTCCTCTGTGCCAGTGCCGCCTCCTTTTATGCTTCAAAACCAGTACGAGCCTGTTCAGCCCCACTGGTTTTACTGCAAGGAGGTAGAGCACAGACAGCTCTGGATGCCTTTCAGTGTGTTGGACTCTTTGCATCTTGAAGAAGTCTATAATTCAGGTAAGCACCATCTATGCATCACTTAGATCTGATTTTAGCGAGAGAGAACATGAAGGTATTTATCCATGGCTTACTTTTTGTGAATGTCACATTCCTTAACGTAGACCCCACAAGACTCAGTACCTTAAGATCGTGATTTTAATATAAGTTCTGAGTTATTTGAGAAAGGTAGCTGAAGAAGTGTTTTAGTAATTTTCTTACTTGTTTAAAGGATTTTTCTGATTTTATTTTATTTTATTTTTTAATATATTTTATTGATTTTTTACAGAGAGGAAGGGAGAGGGATAGAGAGTTAGAAACATCGATGAGAGAGAAACATCAACCAGCTGCCTCCTGCACACCCCCTACCGGGGATGTGCCTGCAACCAAGGTACATGCCCTTGGCCGGAATCGAACCTGGGACCATTCAGTCCGCAGGCCGACGCTCTATCCACTGAGCCAAACCGGTTAGGGCGATTTTTCTGATTTTAAATCAGAGAAACAGAATAGCTCATATAATCCAGGTGTCAATTTTTTTTTCTCCTTTTTTTGGGGGGGGTCAATTTTCTTATTTCCCTGATTCATTTGTATGTATAGAGCATTTTCTATGTAAGCCTTATTTCTTAAGATGCTGTGGAAAAAGTATTCCATGGTCAGGTGAGTGTGGAAGTACTGTGACTACATCTCCCATTTGAGACAGACAGTGCACAGGAGTGTGTTCAGGCTGTGAGAAGTCCTGCGGGGAAAAAAGGTGTCTTTGTTTATCTTGATGATATCTCACCATGGGACTTAAAAATTGTCTAATAATATTCTTCAGAAATATGATTCATAAATTTTGCTGCTTTGGTTTAAAAAAATTACCAGTTATTTGAATTATTTTATGTTCATGTTTTAAAATTTTGCCTTAGTTATTTCTTCACTTAAGATCATAATTTTGATCAGCACAGATTAGTCTTTAGCTCTTTTTATTTTTAATGTTTTAAAAATCTATTCTTTTTTTAATTTAAATTACTTACTTATTTATTTATTTATTTATTTATTTTTTTAACTCCTCACCTGAGGACCTGCTTAGAGAGAGGAAAGTGGGGAGAGAGAGAGAGAGAAACAGCAAAATGTGAGAGAGAAACATACTGGTTGTCTTCTGTTTTCAGCCCCACTATGGATCAAACCCACAACCCAGGTATGTGCCAATTGGTAATCGAACTGGCAACCCCCCCATCCATGGGACAATGCCCAACCAGCTGAGCCACTCCTGCCAGGTTTAAGGTATTTTTAAATAAAAATGAGCTTAGTTCTTTGTCTTTATGAATCAACTGGTCGCTGTATTCATTACTTATTACTTTATATATGCCTCGTAACTGTTGGATTAAACTGTGAACTTTGTGCTCCAGTCCAGCCAGACCCTGAGAGTGTGGTTCTAGGCACGGATGGAGGGCGCTATGATGTTTACCTCTATGACCGAGTGAGGAAAGCTGTATACTGGGAAGAGGAGCCCACCGAAGTGAGACGCTGTACTTGGTTTTACAAAGGAGACACAGATAGCAGATTTGTTCCCTATACAGAGGAATTCAGTGAAAAACTAGAGGTAGGTGGGCTTTATCCCTTTATGCTTTTCTTAACAAAATGTAGACCCTGCATACGTTGGAGCCTCATAAAATACCACCCACAGGGAGCAGACTTTGTTTACAAGAGTCTTTCTTTCTTTTTTTAATTAAATTTTTTAATGTATTGATTGATTTCAGAGAGAGAAACATTGATTTGTTGTTCCACTTATTAATGCATTCATTGGTTGATTTTTCCATTGAATTTTAGAGAGAGTGGAAGGGAGGGAGACAGAGAGATAGAGAAACATCAGTGTGAAAGAGACACACATTGATTTGTTGCCTCCCACATATGCCCAGACTTTGGCCAGGTACCTATCTGGTAAATGAGGTACATGCCCTTCACAAGAATCAAACACATGACCCTTCCGTCCGTGGGCCAGCACCCTCTCCACTGAGCCAAACTGGCCATTAGTTGATTCTTGTATGTGTCCTGACCAGGGATTATACCTGCAACCTTGGTGTCTGAGGACACTGTAACCAACTGAGCAACCCAGCCGGGGCCAACAGTGCCTGTCTTGATTCTGTGTACAAGGAAGATCTTTGGTGTCAGAAAGTTTTGGGTGGGAGTGTGCAATCTCATGTAATTGTGAACTTAAAATGTCTCCTGGGAAGCCCTATCTGATTTGGCACAGTGGATAGAGCGTTGGCCTGTGGATTGAAGGGTCCTGGGTTTGATTCTGGAGAAGGGCACATACCTAGTTTTCAGGCTCCTCCCCAGCCTGGGCCCTAGTCAGGGTACATGTGGGAGGCAACCAGTCACATCGATGTTTTTCTCTGTCTTTCCCTCTCTCTTCCGCACTCTCTAAAATCAATGGAAAAATATCCTCGGGTGAGGATTAAAAAAATATATATATATCTATACTAATAAAAGGGTAATATGCTAATTAGACCGGGTCGACTAGACATCTTCTGGATGTCCGACTTCCTTCCGGACAAAGCCATGGCGGCGGGGGCCAAGGCAGAGGTGGGTAGGGGTGATCAGGCCAGCAAGGGAGCAGTTAGGGGGTGACCAGGCCGGAAGGGGGCAGTTAGGTGGCGACCAGGCCAGTAGGGGGGCAGTTAGGGGGTGACCAGGCTGGCAGGGGACCAGTTAGAGGTGACCAGGTCAGCAAGGAGGCAATTAGGAGGTGACCAGGCTGGCAGGGGAGCAGTTAGGGGGCGACCAGGCTGGCAGGGGGACAGTTAGGGGGCAACCAGGCCAGCCGGGGACCAGTTAAGGGGCAATTAGGCCAGCAAGCAGAGGTGGTTAGGGGTGATCAGGCAGGCAGGCGAGTGGTTAGAAGCCACCAGATTGCGAGAGGGATGTCCAACTGCTGGTTTAGGCCCCATCACTGGGCCTCTAGTCTATACTAATAAAAGGGTAATATGCTAATTAGACTGGGAGAGTTTCTGGACAAAGCCATGGTGACCGGGCCGAGGCAAAGGTGGTTAGGGGTGACCAGGCCAGGATGGGAGGGCAGTTGGAGGTGATCAGGCCAGCAGGGGGGGGGGGGGGGGGGGGCAGGGAGGCAGTGGGGGTGAGCAGGCTGGCAGGGGGTGCCTGTTGGGGGCGAGCAGGCTGGCAAGGTGGGTTGCAGTTGGGGGCGACCAGGCTGGCAAGCAGAATGGTTAGGGGCAATCAGGCAGGCAGGCAGGTGAGCGGTTAGGAGCCAGCGGCCCTGGATTGCGAGAGGGATGTCCGACTGGGCCTAAACCAGCAGTTGAACTTCCCCCGAGGGGTCCCAGATTGGAAAGGGTACAGGCTGGGCTGAGGGACAACCCCTCAGTATACGAATTTCATGCACTGGGCCACTAGTGTATATATATAAAAGGCTAATATGCTAAGTGTCCCTCCTACCATCTGACTGGTTGCTATGATGCGCACTGACCACCAGGGGGCAGATGCTCAATGCAGGCGCTGCCAAGCTGCAGTGACTTGGCAGCAGCAGTTTTAGGGTGATGCACCCTGAAACCAGAGAGGAAGGAGCCTGATTTCTCACAGGGCCTTGCAATTACACCTTGGGCTATGGGTTATGTTGTTGCTGGGGCACTGTCGCCCAGAACCTGGTTTACTGCACACTTGCATTTGCGTTCCACACTTCTATGACAGCAATTTTGCAGAGTGCCCTCTCGCACTCTGGGAACTCTCGGGGGATGTTGGAGAGCCAGTTTTTGCCCGATCCCCGCAGGTCAGGTCGAGGGACCCCACATGCCGGAGGGATCCCACTCACTCGGCAGATGCTGGGAGGAACCGAGGGAGGTTGGCTCCAGGGCGTGTCTGGCCCATCTCACCCAATCCCACCCCGCTGTTCACCTTCTAATTAATTTCTTTCAGTGTGCACCAATCCATGCACCAGGCCAATAGTAGTAAAAGAAACCAATTTTATTTAAAAAATGTCAGCTAGGGGTTGAATTGTGTCCTAGGCTCTAGCAGCTCAGAATGTGACTTGTTGCACATGTTATTAAGATGAGATCATAGTGGAGTAGGGTGGGCCTCTGTTCCCATGTGACTGGTATCCTTACAAGGGGACAGACAGAAGGCGAATACTGTGTGAGAATAGGGGATCGGAGTTATACACCTGTAAGCCGAGGAACAGTACAGATTGTTGACAAACCACCAGGAGCTAGGGAGCAATGAAGGAGTTCCCTGTAGGTTTCAGAGGAAACATGGCCCTTTTATACCATTTGCTCTTCTGACACCTTGACTTCAGACTTCTGGCCTCCAGAACCGAGGGAATACATTTCTGTTGTTTTAAGCCCTCAGTTTGTGGTACTTTTTTTGGCAGCTCTAAGACACTAATACTCTAAATCTTGGTGTTTGCCTCTGTCTGATGCAGATAATGTTATTTAGGAATGAATGAAAGTAATTAAGTGAGGTAATACATGTAAAGTGATAAGTATGGTAACCAGTTAGTACTTGAGAGCTGCTATTACTGTTTTTTATTACCATCATAGTTGTAATTTTCTTCCACTTTTTCTCAATGTGATAAAGATTTGTATTAATGGATGTATGTTGTTTCCATTATTGTAGGTTGAATATAAAAAAGCTGTAACCACAAATCAGTGGCACCGCAGATTAGAGTTTCCAAGTGGAGAGACTATTGTTATGCACAATCCAAAGGTAATGATAGTTTTTAGGATATTAAAGCTTTTAGGTTCATTTAAGTAATTTTGACAAATGTATTTGCTAAACATTTATTTTCATTCATTTCTGCAGTAGGGATATATGTATGACAAGTCTGTTGCTTTAAGTTTACTATAGTTCACATTGATCTGTGGTACTGCCCCCTCCCTGCAGGCATGTGTGGGAGGCAACCAGTTGATGTGTTTCTCTCACACTGATGTTTCTCTCTCTATGCCCCTCCCTTTCACTTTCTCTGAAAACCATTGGAAAATTTATCTTAGGTGAGGATTAACAAGAAAAATAAAATAAAATTAAATTTGTTTCATGAAGTTTCTATTTATGGCAACATATTAGCTGAAGCTTAGTATACAGCATAGAAGTTGCTGGATAAATTTTTGCACTTGATCAGAGATCAGCTGACTTTTTCTGTAAAGTGCTAGAGAGAAAGTATTTAAGGCTTTTTGTGCCACATGGTCTTTGTGACAGCTGTCAACTCTGCCCTTGTAGCCTGAAAGCAGCTACAGACATAGAGCATGGCTGTTTTTAAGCAAATTGTGTCAAAACAAGTGGTGGGCCAGTTTTCCCCTGAAAGTCGTAGTTTGTCTACCCTGCCCTTAATGAAGGTTTGTTTCAACCTTTGAGACGGAAAACATATTCTTCCTCTTTTTATCGTCTTTAGAAACTTGTTGTGTTATTTTTTTTAAGGTATTAATGCTATTGGCATTCTTTCATTTACCACCCTTCATCTCTGAGCCACAGGTATTTGCACTAAGATTTTCCTCCCTGCCCTTAACTGCTTTCGATTCAGGTCAAGGGCACATTCCTCAGTTGCAGGCTGGATCCCTGGCTCTGATCAGGGTGCATTCGGGGCAACCAGTCAATGTGTCTCCTTCACATCAGTGTTTCTCTGTGTCTCTCCCCCTCCCTTCCACTCTCTCAAAAATCAGTGGAAAAATAACCTTGGGTGAGGATTACGAGCAACAAAAAAGATTTTCCTCCCCGGGGCATATTGGAGATGAGGTTGAGGCATTTATGCAAAAGCCTCTAGCATAGTGCTTGGCACACAGTAGTTGCTCACAACAGGCCATGTGCTTATTATAGGAAAGTATAAAATAACTTATATTCTAACCACATCTATAGTCCTTAATTTCTTAAAATTTATCTTTATTGTTGAAAGTAATACAAATGTACCCTTTTCTTACCCATTGACCCTTCTAGCCCGCCCCCTTTCCCCATCTACAATCCTTATTGATATTTAAAAAAATAAAAGTAAAAGCACATTTATATGTCAACAAAATTTAAACGGTACATAAAGGTGTGAAGTGAAAATAAAAGCCCCTTACTCTTCTGTATCCTCCCAGTTTCTCCTCTTTTTTTTATTTATTTATTTTTTGTGGAAAAAAGAATACAGATGGACTGTGTTTTACCTATGTGAAAATTACCAATCCACTTAAAAGAAAATCCAAGAGGGTATATACATTCTAATCAAGTCATTGATTATTTTCCTGATTAATAAGAACTACACTTTACACAAAATACTTTATCAGCAGTTGTTTTCATCAATAAAACAGTAGTCATAGTTTCACAGTTGAAAAAGTTACACGTTAAAATATTTTACAATTCCTTGTATATTCAGCAGGTTCCATTTCCTAAACGGCTTGTAATACAAAGCAGAGTAGAAGGAAACCTCAAAGTTGATTCCTTTGACACTAACTTTTACACAGGACACTAAGAACCACAAAAGCTTAGGTTCTATCAGAAAATAGAGACTAAATTCCATTCTTGATTAAAAAATCCAATTAGAAACATCTTTTAAAAAAACACACTAAATTCCACAATATGGTTAACAGATTTCAAATTAACAACAGTGTAAAAATTTTTACATACACAATTTTGTGTAGCTGAGAATATAACAAAAAGTTAAAGCATGATTTTTCAAACAGTTGATTATTTCTTGCTAGAATGTGTTTAAAATTAGGTTTTACTTTCCTTAAACCTGCTCGTCCCCCCTCCAAAATAGTCACTGAAGGAAATATTGCTCAAGTGACAAATGAAACTGTAGAGCCAATAGTCAGTTATACCACATTCAATGACGTATGGCTGGCCATAGGAAATGATCAATTGGAATTGATCTCTGATACTAAAGTACCTGGAAGCAACTATGTTGTCATGATTTAAAACATACCCTAGTCTCCCATGTAACATTTAATTCAGTTTTTGGTTCTTTGTCTTCTGAGAACCTCCTGTCCCTTTTTTCGTATTTTTAATGCTGTTTGCTTAAACTCTGCTGGGATTTCCTTAATATTTACTTTGCTTTTAGCTAGATCACTTAATCTATATTCTTTATCAAATTTGTTTACACCTCTCAAACAGACTTAATTTGGTTGTAATAACTCTTGAAAATAAATATCAATGACGAAATATGGTATGTGGTATGTGTTTTTATGGTGGAGAGGTCCCAGGGAAAGTGGACTAACTGAATTGATGTGGAAAGAGCAAAAAGTGTATAAATTCTGTGCAAGGAAGCTCAAAGCTTTTTTGACACTCAGGTAAAACACGGTTGGTTCTCTGTTAAAACTTCACTTTCCACCATCAGAGTCTCAGATTTGTATCATGTCACTGAGTTTTCCTGTAATCAACTCCTGATACAGAAAAGACTGGGATGGTAGAATGTATTATAACTGAATAGATCTAAGACACAAAATGTGAATCATGAAGTTTTAATAAGTTATGAAATCTTCTGCAAAAGAATAGATTGGTTTCCTGCTTAATAGAAAGTAAATTCTTCTGAACTATTCCAAGACAGTTTAGAGAAGGAACTTCCCCTAATCTTCAAATTTATTTTTCCTGTTGGCAATATTATATACATGCCTTAGTGAAGTACCTAAATCTCCAATAATTATGCCCTTTAAGGGTTCTAAAATAGCAAAATATTAAGAGTATTTGTATTAGAGTCCTTGTTCATTATTCAAGACTATAGGTAACTGATTTTCATAAGTGAAGATTTTTTAGTGATGCTATTTCACTAGAGTATGCAATGTGTGCTCTTTATAAAGTTGTATTCCAATCATATGCCTAATCTAGAAAACTCAGTAAATTATCGCACTTTTTCTGGTGTGGCACATGAACATTTGCTAAAACTATTAACTAGGGAATTAATCATTTATTCAAATACTGAGGAAAATATCAGATTCTGGAGTGATGACTAGCCTTAACCCCTACATCTTGGGTTAATGTTTTTCAAAATGTTTAAGAATGTATCCTGTGCTCAACCGCAATTTAATAAAGTTGGAGAATGAGCCCTAACCACTTGGAAATGGACATAATACTGCTTTTATTACTGAGATGTTAGATAAATAGTCTAAAATGGTAAAAAGTTCATGGTTTCCATTTCCCCATATTAAAAGTATTATTCATGAGCATACCTCTGTAGAGGGTTAAGCAACCAGGAAGCTACTCTAAATTGTATTAATTTTGGTAACAAACTTCATATGATTGAGGCATTCTCGACTATAAAAGAGGATGGAAGATGGGGATTCATGTAAAAAGAGAAAAAAAAAAGGATAAACTTTAATCAATCTTTTTAAGTAGTTATTCACTAGTATCAGTATAAATGGGATAGTGCCGGAGCCTTCTCCAAAGACCAAGAGAAGAGGTGACCATTGCTGATATGAACAATAAAACATTTGGGGTGCAAAGCAATGCATGATTATGGGACAGATTATGAAATAAAGAATATATATTAATGATGCTTTCTTTTTCTTTTTTTATATATTTCATTGACTTTAGAGAGGAAAGGAGAGGGAGAAAGAGATAGAAACATCAGTGGTAAGAGAAACTCATTGATTGGCTGCCTCCTACATGCCCCCTACTGGGGATCAAGCCAGCAACCCAGGCATGTGCCCTTGGCTGGAATCGAACCTGGGACCTTTCAGTCTGCAGGCCGACACTCTATCCATTGAGCCAAACCAACTAGGGCTTAATGATACTTTCTATAATATAAATAGCTTTTAATAAAAAAATAAACTTTTTAATAACATTAGTACTCCTATTTTTCTGGAAAACATGCATGAAAAATGTATTCAATTCATCAATTGCAAAAGGAGGAAAAAAAATCAACTTAAGGTGAATACCGCACAATTCTGAAGCAGGAACTATTCCTGCTCATTCTTTTTTTTTTCCTGCTCATTCTTTCTCTATGATTAGTTTACTTTATGGGCCCCCAGAATTTCCCTGGGAAATAAGAATCAGATTCTTGTATTCTGTCCCAGTTTCTCTTCTTGATGGTGACCATGCTTATCCTTTTGTGTTTTATATTTTTTAACCTTTTGTTTTGTGTACAAACAGAAAAATTTTGCATAACATCTTGCATGCATTTTTTTAAAGAGGTATTTTCATGACATCAGGTTTAATTTAATACAGTTGGATTAAACAATATATGTCTTCCTAAAAAGTGGTGGGTAAATCAGTGTTTGGCATTGAAAATGCATTTGTAAATAGACTCCTCTATTGCAGGTAACTTTTTCTTAATTTCTTACATGTAAACTTGGGTGTTTATATTACATTTCTGAATTGAGGTATATTCTGATTTAGTTGTGTCATTTTCTAACAGCATTGGAAATAATGGTATTGATTTGCTTATGGTATTGATTAGTTTTAATGGTTAATGATCACTAGCAGGACCATCACAGATTGGATTTGGGGGAACATTGGTAGTACTTGATGTATAAATTATCCATACTCTCAAGTAGTTTATTATGTATTGAAATACCATTATTTTGTCTGTAGTGGAAGTGAATTTGGTAGTGAGCTGTCATAATCTTCCTATTGTATCTTGAAGGTTATTGTTCAGTTCCAGCCTTCGTCAGTGCCAGATGAATGGGGGACCACACAAGATGGACAGACCAGACCCAGGGTTGTGAAGCGTGGAGTTGACGATAACCTTGATGAAATTCCCGATGGTGTGTAAACTTGGTTTAGGACCGATGTCATTTCTAAACTTCTCTGTTCTGCCATCATCCTTTAGAATGATGACCAAAAAAACAGTTGTTAGGATTTCCTGCCATATCAGGTTGGCACATATTTTTAAAAAATTGTTATTACCTTTTTATCTTTATTTTTAAATTTAGAATTCTGTGAAGGTATACAAACCATGTAATGTGGACTCTTAAAATATGTATTGTTTTAAAGAAACACTTTGCTGATTGAAAGCAGGCTTTTGGCTGTGTTTTTGGGCTTGTTTTGTCATACTTCAATTAGTTTGTCTTACTCTAGTGCTGGAGTGGCACACATTTTCTGTGAAGGCCAAATAGTAAATATTTTAGGCTTAGCAGGCCATATAGACTCTGTTGCATGCATTCAACTCTAATTGTCGTGTGAATGCATCTATAGACGGCATGTAAACAAATGGGCATAGCTATGTTTCAATAAACTTTATTTGTAAAGAACAGGCAGGGAGAAGGATTTAGCCTGTGATCCATGGTTTGCTAACCCCTGCCCCAGTGTTTGTGCTCTGGTTCTCCTATTATACCATTTAAAGTATGGATTTTATTTTGACAGGTACATACTTTAGATTTGTTTTATTGTCTTATGAGATTACAAAATGAATACACTTATTCTGAATCTGAATGAAACAACCAGAGTAAAATAGTAGATTTTACTTGGAGATGTCCCTTTATATAGTATATATGAATCTAACAAATAAAAGAGAAGGATTTGGGGAAAAGATTTTAAAATTTTACATTGAAAAATTGCTTCTCCATATGGGATTTAGTGCCCTGTGGAGTTCTGAAGAAATCACAAGGTTATGGAGCCTCTGTAGGTACACAACTGCTGGTCATCACATGCTGATAACTTCTGGGACCAGAGACAGCCTGCTTCCTCCACTCCTTGGTTCAGTTGACTGTTATGTACCAAGACTGGCTTTGAGTTTTGTTCTTCTAATTTGGTAGAGGATAAAGACGCTTATTAAGTTGGAAGGGTCATGAATTCCTTTGGTAAGTTTGTGATGACAAAAGGGATATCTAGAATATTGCTATTCAGTTAAGAAAACCCAAACAAGTTTCCAGCTTGTGCGTATATTTATTTTTCTTCTGTAGGGGAAATGCCTCCGGTTGACCATTTGGTGTTCATGGTGCATGGCATTGGACCGGTATGTGACTTGCGCTTTAGAAGTATTATTGAATGTGGTAAGTGTTAGTCATTTCATGGTATGATTTGAGAACTAATGAAAGGACTTTTAAATGTTCATTTTTAAAATGGCTTCCAGCTGAGAGACTGTAAAAGGAGATTTAAATGATCATTGATAGTATTAATTTGTACTTGATTTGTTGTTATGACATGTATAACTCATACAATTTTGGACTATGAAGAATTACATGGGATCATGGAAATAATTTAGCCTTTCTGACAACTTCTGCCTGAGCAGCTCCCGCAACTAGGAACACCTGTATATCGAACTGATTTATAGAGAATTAGTTGTAAGAAGTTGTTTAATGGAAGTATGAATCTGCCTGGTTTACAGAAATATTTTATTTTTTATTGACTTTTTGGGTGGGGGGGGAGAGAGAAGTATCTATTTGTTATTTGACTTATTTATGCATTAATTGGTTGATTCTTGTATGTGCCCTGACCAGGGATCGAACCCGCAACTTTGGTGTATTGGGACTATACTTTAACCAACTGAACTACTCGGCCAGGGCTGCAGACATTTTTGAAGTTTTACTTTTATGTCTGTAAAATAGTTCATATTTTTTGAATACCTGGTGTGCGTCAAGTATCTTGCATGTGTTGTACCATTTCACCCTCACAATGAAGCCTGGGGAGCAGGTGCTCTCACTGTTGCCCCCACTGTTCGATGAGGAGCTGAGGCCCAAAGGCTGGTAACCTCCCCCGATCCTGGTCTGTAAGTTCTGGAGCAGGTAGTTTGGCTTCTGAATTTGTACCCACAGTGCCATGCTGTCTGGATGTGATAGTTAAATTTTTTCAGTCAGTTATGCATACCTCTAAAATAATGAAACGTCTGAAAGATTTTTCTAAGTATTAGGTTTATTGTTATGGGGGCTAAATCCTTGCAAAATACTGGCAAAGTTGAGGTAATTGCTTACTACCAATCAAGCTAAGAAAATTATATTAATTTAACTTATTGTTTTCCCTGATTTTCTTTTTTAAGTGGATGATTTCAGGGTGGTTTCTCTCAAATTGCTGCAGACTCATTTCAAGAAAGCTTTAGATGATCGGAAAATAAGCAGAGTGGAGTTCCTTCCCGTTCACTGGCACAGCTCCTTGGGTGGGGATGCAACAGGCGTTGACAGGTGCGTGGATTTTGAGAACTTGCTTTTCAGATTATTCACTTGTAGATTAAAAAATTAAACCATAATGTGAAGTAGTTTATTATGACTTCCACATATATGCATATATATTTTAAGAGATGTATTTTTTTTTATTTTAAGTTTATACTTGCTCTGACATATAGTTAAAAACTGGTTGTTAAATTTACTTGCTACTTTTCTGTGTATGCATTTATTCTTCTTATAAATATTTAAGACAGGTGAGGAAGTTTAAGCTGGTTTTAGAATACTGATGCATAGTGGTTTAGATATGGGCTGATTATACGCTCTAGGGTGTTAGCAGCATCCCGGGCCTCTACCCAGTAGATAATGGTAGCACGATCCTTCCCACAGTGTGATGTGACAACCAAAACTGTCTGTACTCATTGCCAGATGTCCCCTGGGGCTCAAAGCACCCAAGTTGAGAACCACTGATTTAGTTGATTGTTTCTCAGTGGCAGCTCTTTGGGCAGGACAGTTCATTGTCATGTCCGATTGCTGCATGTGTACTCTAGGCCACTTAGTATCCTAGTCTAAATGCCACCAAATGCCCACAGCACTCATCAGGCACTGTGACAACTAAGAATGTCCCCACTCAAAAAAAAATTTTTTTTACATGTACTTTTTTTTGTTTTTTTATTTTTATTTCAGAGAGGAAGGGTGAGGAGGGAGAGATAGAAGCATCAGTGATGAGAGAATATCATTGATCGGCTGCCTCCTGCATACCCAACACTGGGGATTGAGCCCGCAACCCGGTCATGTGCGCTGACCGGGAATCGAAACCTGACGTGATCAATCACTGAGCCACGCCAACTGGGCCCCACTCAATTTTGAAAGCTTTCAATTGAGAACCATAGATTTAAATAATTTTTTTAATTTGTAGGTAATATTTATGCTAGAACACAGGGCTAATAACCAATGAAATTTGGTGAAAGTCATAGTCTTTCAGGCACATGATTTAATAAAACTGATCCTGCAAACAGCACTATGACCATGCTGGGTCACGTCACGAGGGTGTTTTCTTTCTCTGTGGATGTTCTTTGACTTTGCTGTGGACATTCTCAAATCAGGAAAGAGCTTCATTCTTTTGGTCTTTTTTCTTTCTCCTGCTTTCTCTATTGTCCTTACCACCCACATTTGCTGTAAGGTGTCCTGATTTCCAATAAATTGGAAAACAATGAAAGAATAGGCTTTCTTCTTTAAAATTAAAAATCTTTTCATAAGCCTTATTTTATATGACTTCAGAAAATCCCAAAAGTCATACTGCAGTTAAAGGCACAAACAGCAACTTTTTTGCTAATCTTGGTGTATTTATAACTCTGTCTACAAAATCAACTCATAATTAGTTTGTGGATTTATTTACTCACTGTACTTTCAGGATTCAAGATCTAAGCTTTAAAAAATTCATAGATTTAAGGTACCTTCTCACAATATACCTTTTTTTTCTTTCTAAATAGGAATATTAAGAAAATCACTTTACCAAGTATTGGTCGGTTTCGTCACTTTACCAATGAAACCTTGCTAGATATTCTATTTTATAATAGCCCTACCTACTGTCAGAAGATTGTGGAGAAAGTGGGAATGGAGATAAACCGTCTTCACGCACTCTTTATGAGTCGGAACCCAGACTTCAAAGGAGGGATCTCTGTTGCTGGTCACAGTTTAGGTAAAATTGTCAAATATTCACGTTAAGCAAAATATTTGTTGAGTCAGCACAGCTTTCATTGTGGATGACACTGTTGGTGCAAGATTTAGAATTGTAGATTTCAGGTTTTATAAAGGGTAGAGATGAATGCTTCGAGTTTAGATTCTGCCTTTGCTATTCACCTTCCATGAATACCTACAAATGCTTTATACTTTAATTTATTCTGCTGTTTGGTAAAACAAGAACACTGATTATCAGATCTTGATTAACACCTAACTTTGGTATGACTTCTGGCTAGGGACTTTGAGAAAAAGTAGGAGAATATATTTAGTGATATAAAAAGTACCTGGTACATTATAAAGCAAAATGCTGCTTTTTTTTTTTTTTTCCTTAGGTTCTTTAATATTGTTTGACATTCTGTCTAATCAAAAAGATTTGACTTTACCAAAGGCTTCAGGGTCTTTTGTTGTTGCTAATGGAGCTGTGAAGCAGCCACGTGTCCAGGAGAAGCAGGTACGGCCCAGTTAACATGTAGATTTGGAGTTTGAGCTGAACATTTTTCCAAAATCTGAACTGTCTGTATATGAAAATATGCTGAGGTTTACAAGTGTAATGGATGGAATCATATAGCCCGTTGTTATTGTAAGAAATGGGAGCATGAGTGATTATTAACTTATATGCTTTTTCAGAATATTTACAAATTAGGATGACAAACTACAAAAATTAAGATGTGCTTTTTAGAGCAGAATGGGTTAAGGTTTTCTGTAGGCAGGGAGAAATTTTATGGGAGTTTTTCTGAGCTTTGTAAAGTTTCCCCAACTTTATCTCACAGACGCCTGAAGACCCGAAGCTGGCCTTGGATGAGCCCAGTGACCTTGATGTTGAAAATGAAGAAGTCCTGACTCTGCAGGAAGCCCTGGCAGCACTTAGTCTCTCTGAATACGTTAGCACTTTTGAAAAGGAGAAGATTGATATGGAATCTCTGGTACTGATGATAGTTTGATTCATTTTTATTTAAAATTTTTTTCCGGTGTATAAATTGAAAATTACGAATGATTTGAACACTCATACATCATAATACATTCCAGATAAGGCAGAAATTTAAGTGTTTAAGAAATTGAAAAACACAGAATTGTGTGTTTTTTTAAAAAATTGATTTCGGAGAAGGGAGAGGGAGAGAGAGATGGAAGCATCAATGATGAGAGAGAATCATTGATCGGCTGCCTCCTGCACACCCCCCACTGGGGATCGAGCCTGCAACCCAGGCATGTGCCCTTGGCCGGAATCGAACCCGGGACCCCCCAGTCCACAGGCTGACGCTCTATCCACTGAGCCAAGCCGGCCAGGGCTGGCAGTGTGTTTTAAAATATAAAAAATACATACCTTTTACCCCAACAGATTAACTGCCAGGAATATTTCCTGTGGAGAAATATACACACAAAATACGTACAAGGATACTGTAGCACTGTTTGTACTAGCAAAACTTAGAAACACAGTTGGTGTCAATTAGTAAGGCAACTAGTGAGGTCATTTATGGTGCATCCATGTGATGGTGTACCCTGTAGCTACTAAATGAATGAGGCAGTGTCAGAGATACTGGTGTGAAATGATCTCTTAGGTACATCATGTGAAAAGACCAAAAGTTCAGACCTGTTTGCATAGTAGGACATACACACACACACACACACACACACACACAGCAAAGCATATAGATGCTGTGTATGTGTAAGATCTCTCTCTTGAAGGAGGACAAGTTGCCATCAGCTGCAGCTGAGAGAGATGGGTTGGGTGGATGGGGCAGGACTGGAGGGGAGAGACCTGAAACCTTCAGCTTGACTATAGCTTTTGAATTTTGTACAACCTGCATGAGTTTTCTGTTAAAAAAGTAATAGAATGATTTGGATGTTGAGGGCTAAGATTTTACAGCCTAAATTAACCCATGATTTAAAAACTAATAACTTACCAAAAATAAAAGAATTGATTGCTTTAGATGTGTAGTTTCTTTATAATTTCCTTTTTCAATTTCAAGTCTGTGACTAGACTCATGAACGTGCTTGTTTGTGTTCTTTTGCAGCTGATGTGCACAGTTGATGACCTGAAGGAAATGGGAATACCACTGGGGCCCAGGAAGAAGATAGCCAACTTCGTCAAGGACAAGGCTGCCAAACTGGTAAAGCTCATCTTGTCCCAGAGAAAACAAGGCCCTGTGTGACTAGCTTAGGTGTTGGAAGTTTTCATGAATACCCTCATGAGTAGGCCAGCTAGCGTGCTCCCTGCTCCTGGACACAGTGATGGGGCTGATGGAAGCTCAGGCTTTGGAGTCAGCCATGCTGGATTTTAGGTTCCACGTAGGGTAACTGACCACCCGGTTTCCTTGGAACAGAGAGAATTCCCTGGACAAAGTCTTTTCAGTTTTAAAATGGGAATTTCCCAGGGCAAAAAATGGATAAATCCTGGATAAAAAGATGAGTTGATTGCCCTGCTTCCCAGTTCAGCCACTTACTCACTACATATCTATGAGCGGTTTGCTTACCCTTTCTGATCCTTGGTTTCCTTCATCTCTAAAATGGGCATGATACCTTCCGTATAAGGTTCAAATGAGGATGAAGTAATGCATGTGAAGATGAATACCCAATAGATGTTCGCTCATTCTCTCTTCCCAAACCCTCTCACCTTCTAAAGATAACATACACACACAGCTCATTAATAATAGCCAGAAAGCAAAAATTAAATTAATTAATTTATTGATTGCTTTTAGAGAGAGACAGAGAAACATCTATTTGTTGTTCCACTTATTTATGCACTCATTGGGTGCTTCTTGTATGTGGGGATCAAACTTACAACCTTGACATATTGCAGTGGTTCTCAACCTTCCTAATGCCGTGGCCCTTTAATACAGTTCCTCATGTTGTGGTGACCCCCAACCATAAAATCATTTTCATTGCTACTTCATAACTGTAATTTTGCTACTGTTATGAATCGTAATGTAAATATCTGATATGCAGGATGTATTTTCATTGTTACAAATTGAACATAATTAAAGCAAAGTGATTAATCACAAAAACAATATGTAATTATATATGTGTTTTCCGATGGTCTTAGGCGACCCCTGTGAAAGGGTCACGACCCACAGGTTGAGAACCGCTGAGTTAGAGGGAGATATTTGAGCACAAATGATGACACATCAGTCCTGGAACAGTATTGTTCATGCTTTCTGGCCACGGGAGAAGGGATGGGTTGATAAGAGAAGACTTCCCCAAGGTGTTGGTGCTTGAACTTGAAGGAGAGGCAGGACCTGGGGACAATGATCAATTTGTTCCCCAAAATAAATGTGAGCAATGCTCCTTCCAGGAGAGGCCCTGCAGCTGAAACAGCCGATGAGCCGAGAGTGAGGGAGGGCAGAGTCCTGAAGGCCCAAATGGCAGGTGTGGAAGTGTGAATTTTATCTTTCGAGTGAGTGGTTCTCAAACGTTCATACGGCTATGAAAGTCATGATGCCTTTAAACAAATATCATGAATGTTGACCTGTCATCACTTATAAATTGGCATCAATCCCCTTTTTAATCTAAATCTTAATTTTACCTTTAGAAATTTTAAAATAATATAAAAGTAAATATTAAAACTGCATTATGAAATTTTAGCCATGAGCAACTGTTTCTATAATAAATGGGTTTTTCAACAGAGTGACTCCTTCCTGGTTTTTCCGTTAGTACTTGTCCCCATGTGCACATCAACAAAACACAGCCTGTAAAACACAAACAAATGAAAAGCTGCCCTCAAACCCTACAGCATGTCCTTGACTGTATTCTGTGATAAAAGAAAAAGTATTCCATTGTTCTTGGAAAATTTTTAGAAGGAGCCTGATTTATACACTGTAGTTGCTTTGATAGATAAGTTATGGCATTATAAGAATATTTTGAAAGGAGTGAAAATCAGTCAAATGACCTTATTTTTTTCTAATCAGATGCATTTGCCCCTGGATGAACCATGACATTTTCTTGGCCATGTCGCCATTGGTCGCTCTTCATTTTTCATAGGTAATAAGGTGCTGCCAGATAAATAATAAGATAATATGGTGTACGCTATTGATTTACTGTATCTGAAATAATGGGACCAAAATTAGCTAATTACTTTATAATAAGGACATCAAGTATTTGTAGCCAGTGTTTTTTCACCCTTTGTAAACTATCTTAGTGATTCCCATTTGAAAAGGAATGGTTCTTAGTGTTGGGAATATTGGTAGTCATGTATGTGTATGTTGGTTCACTTTGTTTTTACAATTATCGCATGTGGCTAGGGGAAAGAACAATAGTTTGGCATAGGACAGTTTATGACCTATTTAGACAGCTCTCTTAGCAATTTGGAATGAGTTCTATTAATACAATTGGAGGTTCTGCAGAGCGAGAGAGCAAATTTAAGCTGAAGAGACTGGACATGGTCTTCATTTTGGGTTTGAGATTTAATCTTGTGCTGCCTTCAGAGGGAAGAGAGAACAAACCTTCCTGAATGTAATGGGGGATCAGTTCCCAGCTGGCTGGCAGAGAGCTTTCTTTTTCCTGTCCTGCCTGTTGAAGTCACCAAGTGGACTCTTCCTGCTTTCCTAGGGTTTGGAATTTGTTAATAGATGAGACCTGTTTGGCCAGCAGTTTTGTTGAGGCGTTGTCAAGAAGTGCTTAAATAGAGACTGTCCTGGTCATTCTCAGCCTGGGAAATGAGGGCCACTGAGCACGTGCCTGTGGGGAGGGACAAGTCCACCCAGGGCAGCTGTTCACCTCCCTGGCATTGCTGCCGCTGCCTCAGGCTGTGATGACAAACCAAAGTGAGTGGGTTCCATCGTACTAGATACACCTGCTCCATAATGCTCCCAAAGCTTTTGTTCACATTTATTTTGGGGAACAAATTGATCATAAGTATTTGGGGCAATATGTTTTGACAATTCTTGCACCTGTGTAGTCACAACCTAAGACAAAAATAGAACGTTTCTGTCACACGTGCTTCTTTCTAGCCAACTCTCCCGCCATACAACTAACCATTATTCTGATTTCTGACACTTGAAAATTTTGCCTGTTGTGTATGAAGGGAGAAACAGTATGTATGGACTCTTTGGTATGTGGCTTTTTTTACTCAAAATCAATCATTTTTATTCCATTGTATGAATAGACCACAGTGTGCTTATTTGTTCTTTCCAAAATGCTTTTGAGAGAAATTTGTTAGTGGCTCCATGCAGACATAATGTTGAGTGAAGACATTTCTCCTAGGTTACACATCTTTATAGAAGTATGTATTTTAAAATTATATAGTACTTCTAAACTGTCTAACATTTAGATTTAAAAGGAAGAAATTGGCAGTTTTAAACTTTTTTTAAAAATATATTTTATTGATTTTTTACAGAGAGGAAGGGAGAGAGATAGAGAGTTAGAAACATCGATGAGAGAGAAACATTGACCAGCTGCCTCCTGCACATCTCCTATTGGGGATGTGCCTGCAACCCAGGTACATGCCCTTGACCGGGATCGAACCTGGGACCCTTCAGTCCGCAGGCCGACGCTCTATCCACTGAGCCAAACCGGTTTCGGCTAAACTTTTTATTAGAAAAGTATTACAAGCAGTAGAATGATCTATACGTATAAAAGGCTAAGCGACCAGCCAGCGGGCCGGTAGGTATGACGCGCACTGACCAGCAGGGGCAGATGCTCAACACAGGAGCTGCTGAGCGACAGCAACTTTGCAGAGTGCCCTCTTGCACTCTGGGACCTCTCGGGGGATGTTAGACTGCCAGTTTTGGCCCAATCCCTGTAGGCCAGGCCTAGGGACCCCCACCTACTGGGGGGACCCCCATTCATTCTGCAGATGCCCTTTGAGCCCCGGCGCTGCCCCAGGTGCAGCTGGCTGGGGAGAGACTGCGGGAGGTTGGCTCCAGGGCCTGTGTCCTGCCCGTCTTGCCCAGTCCTGCCCCACCGGCCACCTTCTAATTAATTTCCTTTCAATGTGCACAAATCCGTGCACCGGGCCTCTAGTAATATTTATATTTAGACTTAATTGTAGCTGTTTTGTTTTTGTTTTTCATTGCCTCTTAATCTTTTTGTCTTAAGAATTTTAAAGTAAATTTTAGACATGGCGCTTCTTTCCTAAATATTCAATACTAGAGGCCCGGTGCACAAAAATTTGTGCACTCGGATTGGGGGTGTTCCTCAGCCCAGCCTGTGCCCTCTCGCAGTCTGGGACCCCTTGGGGGGATGACCACCTGCTGGCTTAGGCCCACTCCCCGGGGGATTGGGCCTAAGCTGGCAGTCAGACATTCCTCTGGCAGCCCTTAGGGGATGTCCACTTGCCAGCAGGGAGCAGGCCTAAGCTGCAGTCAGACATCCTTAGCGCTGCTGAGGAGGCGGGAGAGGCTCCCACCACCACTGCTGTACTGGCAGCTGTCAGCCTGGCTTGTGGCTGAGCAGAGCTCCCCCTGTGGGAGCGCACTGACCACCAGGGGGCATCTCCTGCATTGAGCGTCTGCCCCCTGGTGGTCAGTGTGTGTCATAGTGACCAGTCATTCTGCTGTTACGGTCAGTTTGCTTATTACCCTTTTATTATATAGGATGTGTTCCTGAAAGGGACATTTCTCTAATGACACAATGTCATTGTGCCTCAGAAATTACTAATCACTCCCTAACATTGAGGTAGCATGTGTCGTGGTGAGAGCTCATAACTGAACCTTTTCCTCGGGGTAATGTCATGAAATCTTGGTATTTTACAGGAACAGAAAAAAGCAGCCTCAGAAAAGAAGGCAGCAATGGCGGCTTTGACAAAAGGACAAGAGGGAAGTGCTCAGAAAGCTAAAGAAGTGGCTTCTCTCCCCTCAGAGTCCAGTGAGTCTAAGAGGAGACTTCCAGTTGGTGCTTGTGTGTCTTCTGTGCATGTGGATTATGAGTCTTTTGAGGTTGGCACTGGACAGGTAAGTCCACACAGTGACGAGGGCTGCATCTTTTCCTTTGGAGTCACATATCTTTAGCATCATCGCATATCTTTCGATTCTTTAATTGTTTATTCCTCATTTATGGGAGGGGTAGAGAAAACAGATTCTAATAAAAATTGTATGCTTGCTTTATAATGTTCAAAATAAGGGGTTGAGTGTGTACTGAATAAATCATATAACTTTTGAAATTCTCTTTATTTCAGCTTTCTATCAATTTTATAGCATTTTTCTCTCATAGCCAATAACAGAAGTGGCAATAGTTAGAAAATTCTGCTTAGAATATATTCCAGTTTCTGTGAGAGAAACTGCTGTGTTCACTAAAGGTGTGTGTTTTTAGTATTCATAGTGTTTTCCTTGGGGAAACATTGCTTTAAAAATGGATCAAGTGGTTAATGATGGAACATTTAATAATCTACTTTGATATTCTTGTATCACTGCCGTTGAAGTTTGAAATGTCTTTTGGATGTTGCTTTCAGCATATTTATGTCATAAATAAGGCTCCATTATCATAAGTGAGTTCATGACTGATGTCAAAAGGAAAGGCAGGAAATGGAACTGAATGCTTGTTCAAGCTTTTGAGCCCAATTCATTCATAAAGATTGACTTTTAAAAATGCCTCTCTTTTTAAACATGAGAAAGTTTGAACAGACTCTAGCAAATAAAGGCAGCTGTTTTCTCACCTGCCTGTGAAGGAAGGATCAGGGTGTAGGAGATGTGTGGAACCATGAGCTCCATGCTACCTGGACACTCACTGTGTGCCTTTCTCTGGGACTTGGCCTTCGTCATGAAACTGGAATCATGGTTGTCAGTAGCTTTGAGCTCATCTCCCTTCAGTGTTATGGTCACAAGGAAAGGAATCTGTCCTGCTAGTATGTCCTGTTAGGAACATTTCAAGAAGGTATCTTATTTGATGTAGTTTAAGTCACAAGTCCATTTGGGACCAATTCTTGTTGCCTGGAGAGTGGGGCACAGATTGATTGTCCCAGCCCAAGTCACCTGCCACCGCCATGGTGGGTGGGCTGAGGTGAGCAGGTCGGATCAAAATGTTCTTAAGCATTCCAACCACAGCAACAGCATGTGTTGTTCATTACCAGAAAGCCAAGAAATACTGATTAAGCAAATGAAGATTAAAATATAACCTTGGAATTTCCTTAACCAGAACATAATACCATTAGCTGCTTGAAGAAGACCTTCTAGACTTTTATTTGTGCATATATTTTCACAAATACGGGAAAATACTGCATGTTATGCTTTACTAAAGCCATGTACTGCTGTTCTCAAAGAACATACAGTTGGACCTTGCACAACATGGGCCAGTTCACATGGGAGTTGTTCAGGGGTCAACTGTGTGTATTGGGGATATATTCTGTGTCAGTAAACATTTTTCTAAACTTTATTTTTAACGACCATTGTGTTTCACTGTTTTGAAGGTAATGCTTTATTCTGACATTTACTTATTGGATGTAGCTTCCTACAGCTGCCTTAGGAAAGTACCACAAACTGAGTGGCTTAAAACAACATAAATTTACTCTCACGTTTCTGGAGGCTGGAAGTCCAAGGTGGAGGTGTCAGCGGGGCCATGGAGAGGAACTCTTCCTCGCCTCTTTTGAGTGTCTGTTGATTTGCTACATGTTCCTTGGCTTATAGATGCATTACTGCGGTCCTCCGTTTTCACAGGGCATCCTCCTGTCTTCACGTCATCTTCCCTCTGTGCATTTTGTCTGCGTCCAAATTTACCCTTTTATAGTAACACCAGTTATATTGGATCAGGGCCCTAAGACCTTATTGTAGCTTCATTATCAGTATAAGACTTGCCAAATAAGGTCTTTTTGGGGAGGACAGCCCATAAAATTGAACATATAGGATCTTTCCAGTGTTTTAATCTTTTAAGCGACCCAGTGATGAACAGTTTTAAACCAGTTTTTCTGTGCACATTTTTTATTCTTTCTTTCAATTAAATGACTAGAAGGTTAGCTGGGACAAAGGATGCATAAAAGAAAATGTTGGTAGTTGTTGCTACTCGCTGCTTGAACAGCTGTGGCTGTTGGCATTCCCACTGCGTGGGCCCACTTACATACAGATTTTTTTCAATACTGTACATGTGTGTTCTCTTCCTTATGATTTCCTTAAGGACAACATTTTCTCTTCTCTAGCTTACTTTAAGAACACAGGGGATGCCCCTCTCCTCATCACCCTCATTAATACAGACCGTCCCCAACTTACGATGGTTCCACGTATGATTTTTCAACTTTATGCTGGTTCAGGAGTGATACACATTTAGTAGGAACTGTATTTTGAATTTAGAAGTTTGGTCTGTTCTCGGGCTAGTGTATGTGGTAGCACACTGTACTGTGATGCTGGGCGGTGGCAGGGAGCACAGCTGCCAGGCAGCCAGGCTGCCACAAGGGCCCACAGTCAGTGTGTGCTGGATGTTGGGTTTTGTGTTGTCACATAAATTAGTCAACACTTTACTGCAAAATAGTCTTTGTAGGAGGTGATTTTGCCTAGCTGTAGGCTAATGTAGGTTTTCTGAACCTGTTTAAAGTAGCCCAGGCTCAGCTACGATGTTCTATATTACATACAGTTTTCACTTAATATATTGTCAACTTATGATCATTTTTATTGCTCTTTGTCTCTTTCTAGGTCTCTGTTGTTTATAGCTCATTAGACTTTGAGCCAGAGATTTTCTTTGCCTTGGGATCTCCAGTTGGCATGTTTCTCACTGTTCGAGGAGTGGATCGGATAGATGAGAACTACAGACTTCCTACCTGTAAAGGGTTCTTCAATATTTACCACCCAGTGAGTGAATCGAATTAACTTCTGTTTTGAAGCTGAAGAAGCTGTGCTCTTTGTCCTAAAAGATTCTCAGAGTCTTATTTCTTAGGAATTAATACTGATTTGGATTTTGTACAACTCAGTACTCTATCCTTATAGATACAGTCCAGTACTCTCCAATAAACTTTTCAACCAAAAAGCCTTTGTTCAAGGAAACTAGAGGCCTGGTGCACGAAATTTGTGCACGGGAAGGGGGGTGTCCCTCAGCCTGGCCTGCACCCTCTCCAATCTGGGATCCCTCTCACAATCCGGGACCACTGGCTCCTAACTGCTCACCTGCCTGCCTGCCTGATCGCCCCTAACCCCTCTGCCTGCCTGCCGGATCACCCCTAACCACTCTGCCTGCCTGATTTCCCTAAGTGCTCCCCTGCCTGCCTGATCACCCCTAACCTCTCTGCCTCCCTACCTGATCGTCCCTAACCCCCTCTGCCTGCCTGCCTGATCGCCCCTAGCTGCTCTCCCCTGCCAGCCTGATCACCCCTAACTGCCTCTGCCTTGGCCCCCGCCACCGTAGCTTTGTCTGGAAGGACATCCGGAAGATGTCTAGTCTATCCAGTCTAATTAGCATATCACCCTTTTATAAGTATAGATAATTCTGTTGCTTTGTGGCAAAGTAATTTTATCTACAAACTTGGAAGTCTTCTTACAATTACCAGTATTTTGAATAGGTGTGAAAAAAAAGTAAATATGTCAGGTTTGCCAGTTTTGTGTGTGTGTGTTTTTTTTTAACCCAACTAAGGTATATAACTCAAAATAAAATAGATTTTTTATAAATTTCCATTTTTCTATTTACAGCTTGATCCAGTGGCATATAGACTGGAACCTATGATTGTTCCTGATTTGGACCTCAAAGCAGTTCTCATTCCACATCACAAAGGCAGAAAAAGACTTCATTTAGGTAAAAAGTAAATAGCAGTTATACTGGTAAAACTTCCTTCCTTCCCATTTTTAAAATATTAACACTAAGTCCTTCCTTACAGAATTAATGTTCAGTGCCTACTATGTTGAGAACTTGTTTACTACATAATTGATGGTGCTATAAGGAACGTTATGATGAGTTTCTTCTCCTGATGACTTTATCCCTGACAGCATTCTAACTACTGAGACATGTAGGAATCAGGGAAGGTGGTAATAAAGTGACATGATGCATACACTTTGGTAGAATTTGGCTATAATCTTTAAAATTGAGAAGCAGATTAGCATTTGAACTAATGACCAAACCGTCAAGAAATAAGGTTGATGTTCTCAAGTCAAGTGGGTGTTTATTTCCTTACTAATAAGACTGACTTTTCATGTTGAAAATATCCATTGATTCTAAGTGGGGTTTAAGTATCTCGTATGTCTGCTAATGGTTTAAAAGAAGGAAAAGTGATCATGCCCTCTTATTTGAAAGTTTTTTGGGTTTTTTTCTTTCATCATGCTTTAAATTTAACTCTTTTAGAGTCAAAATGAGAAATTTAATATTCAAAGACCTTGATTTCAAATAGGAATTATTAGACTAAAGTAGAAAAGATGAAGGGGTAAGAGTTTCTTCACTTTTAAAATAGGTTTTATAACAACCTCATATTTTAAAATTGTTTCACTGTTAAAGATTAGAATAAGTCATCTTTTTACAGTAAGAAAAAGCACATGCCTATATTTAATTACATTTTTATGGTATTGAGCTCCTTTTTTTCAGAGTGAGGAAATTTATAGATTTTGGCTGGATCAGGTTTAGTCATTACAGAAATGACAGGGATAAGATTCCTCAAAACATTTTAACATGTTGGAGGTTTTTGGTTGAGATACTCCATCTATATGACATTTAAGAGAGGACTAGGGCCCTAGCTGGTTTGGCTCAGTGGATAGAGCGTTGGCCCGCGGACTGAAGGGTCCTGGGTTCAATTCTGGTCAAGGGCACATGCCTGGGTTGTGAGCTCAATCCCCGGTGGGGGGCCTGCAGGAGGCAGCCGATCAGTGATTCTCTCTCATCATTGATGTTTCTATCTTATCTCTCTCTCCCTCTCCTTTCCTCTCTGAAATCAATAAAAATATTAAAAAAAAAAAAAAGAGGACTAGGCAGTGAATAATGTTAACTTTAGTTTTAATTTCTGTGGTGCAGAATTTTACCCACTGACTAAAAACCTGATGTGTTGTCTTCATCTCTTTAGAGTTGAAAGAAAGTCTCTCTCGCATGGGATCTGATTTGAAGCAGGGTTTTATTAGCTCTCTGAAAAGTGCCTGGCAGACATTAAATGAGTTTGCCCGTGCTCATACCTCTTCAACTCAGCTGCAAGAAGAATTGGAGAAGGTAGCCAATCAAATCAAAGAAGAAGAAGAAAAGCAAGTAGTTGAAGGTAAATATGATAATATTTAAGACCTTTCCAGTTCTTCAGAATGTTTTTCTTTTTCAATGTAACCCATACATCATTTAATGATGCTTTTTCGTTCTAGTCTTCTTAGTTAAAATGTAGAGACACCTCCTCTAAACGAAAATATTTTATGCTAAACTATATACTTGAAAATGCATGTCTTCCTTTCTAACGAGGTTTTTGCCTGATAGTTGCTGAACTTTTTACTCTGCAATGTTAAAGTTTCATTGAGATTCCAAAGGCCAGAGCGGAAGGTCAGAGTTGAGAACCAAGTTTATGTTCAGGCACTTGAAAGACTCACTTGGAGAAACGATCTTTTCTGATGCTGTTGTTTGACTGTGTTGTTATGGACTTGACTGCCATGTCAGGTCATGTGCCGTGATGTTTTTAAATTTTCCAGATTCTAATTCTGTTTCCTTTCTTTCTGCGATGCTCTCTCACCCCTTTTCTGCAAAAGTTCTGTCAGCTCGTGGGCTCTTTCTCCTCTCTCTGGTAACCAGCCCCGCTTCCCCGGGCTCTTTGGAGGAATGGGAAATGAGCCTGGTAGCTCCCCGGGTTGCTACGTGTGTCAAGCAATATTCTCACTGAGCCCAGAAAGTCAGCTAAAGTCAAAGGATAATGATTAAGTGATTGACTTTGATATTGAAATGGTTTAAATTCTAGCAGAAAAGGTTGTTGAAAGTCCAGATTTTTCCAAGGAGGAAGACTACTTAGGAAAGGTTGGAATGCTGAACGGAGGCCGTCGAATTGACTACGTTCTTCAAGAAAAGCCAATAGAGAGTTTTAATGAATATCTTTTCGCTCTTCAGAGTCATTTGTGCTATTGGTAAGTATTTTCTTCTTTGATAACATTCAGGTGGCCTTTAGGTGCTAGCACAGGAAGCAGTTGTAGTTTTAGTGAGACTCTTACTGATTTATCATTTGTTAAGGAACATTCATTTGAACACCTGTCTATTCAAATATTTTCCCCCTTTAGTTTAGTTACCCACAAGATGGCAGTAGGTCATCTGCCTTTGACCAGAGGCCTTGGTGCTAGCAAGGACTGTTTTGCAGGGATGCCTCTCCCAGGATGGGTGTGGTAGGAGGGGCGGAGAAGAGCCATCTCTTTCTATATCCCCTCTCAACCAGGAGAACTGCAGTGGGTGGTTTTGCAGCTGAGCGGTCTCCATCCAGTTTCTAAGGACAGCTTTGGGAGTGCACTACTTGTTCTCATTTGCCCTTCTAGGTAGAGTTGAATAGAATAAAAGCTGCATTTCCCACCTTTACCCATAGAGATTACTTCTAATTGTCTCATAGGAAAATGTGCGCTTATTTTTTATAGGGAATCTGAAGATACTGCCCTGTTATTACTTAAAGAAATTTATCGAACAATGAACATTAGTCCAGAACAGCCCCAGCATTGATTGGACCTCAGCTTCACTCTGTGAGTTTATCTTTATTGTGTGCATAAATTCTGAATGTTCCATTCTGAAGTGTTTTTTATGGCATTGATGTTCATCAACAATTTTCCCATTTTTGTTTTCTTTGAGTGTTTTTTATTTTTATGTAAAAGTTCAGATTAGAGACAGCAAAGGAAGGGAATTAGTGTACAGTTTACACTTCTGACTTGTAACAATCTTCTTATTCTGCATAGAATTTGAGTTCTTTTAAGTGTCTTTTAAAAATAGATTCTCAGGAACATCAGCTAGGAATTTCTTTGGTTGTAGGTTAACAGAACCTAAGAGGTTTACTCAAACAAATGGAGGTTTAATTTTATTATGTAACAGGGAGGGTTCGTTTGTTGAGTGATGCCAACAGATGCCCAGATTGTTTGCATCTTTCCGCCTGCATGTTGGCTTCTGCTGCCTCATAGTTAGGAGGTGGCTGCTGTAGTTGCAAACATCACATCTATACTCAAGGCATGACTAAGGATGAAGGGCAGTATCTGTCCTTTTGGTTGTATCTGTCTCTTTTAATTAGGAAAGCAAAATCATGTCCAAGATTTACTCATGTGTATTGACAAACTGTGTCACATGTCCCATGTCTCCCCACAATCCCAAACTGCATGGAAGATTGTACAAGTGATGTTTGAAGTATTTCCAGTCTTATAGAGGATAGGACTAGAGAAGGGAATTAAACATGATGAGCCAACCTACAAGTCAGCCATACTATATTCCTGACTGTCCTCCTGAGACACCTGACACATACCTCTTTTTCCTTACTAGATTATGCATCACTTTAAAAAATGGGTAATGTGTTTTTTACAAGTTAGAAGTTTTAAAGCCTTTGAAAGAGAAAAACACAAACTGTTGAGTTCTGAATTACTGAATCAAAAGTAGTTCCTGGCAATTTTTGGTTTTCTAATAATAAATTATAAGTTCAGCTTCCGCCTTATTTTGGAAAGGGGTATACTTTTAGTAGAATTTACTTAGAAATGTTCCTGTGCATATCCAGTCAACAGGAACCTCATTGAATACTAGAGACCCGGTGCACAAATTCATGCACGGGTGGGATCCGGCCACAGGCAGTTTGTGGGCTGGCCCCACCCCTGATAGGGGTGGGAGGGGTGGATAGGCGGCGGGGCCGGCCAGGGGGAGTCACTGAGGGTGGTTGGCCAGCCGGCCCTGCCCCCTGGTAGAACTCCCAGTTGAACTCCAGTCCAACTCCTGGTCGAGAGACAATTTGCATATTAGCTTTTTATTATATAGGATAGTGCTCTGTACCTTGAGGTTTTCCATCAGCCATATTGCTTGCACAGCTTTCCACATTAGCTTGTGTACATCTTTTTCATTCTCTTTACTAGTTACATGGTAGTCCATTGTATGGCTATATCTCATTCTATTTAGCCAGTTACCTGTTAGTAGACATTTAAATCATTTTCGAATATATATTAATATTAAGGAGTCTTAGTCTATAGAGTAGGAAAGAGATCTAAAAAGCCATTCTATAATCAGACTCTTGATAGCTTTAGCAGTTCTTACCATTTCTGATAGTATAATGATAAAATAAACTAATTGTAATGTCAAGGTTATCACAGTCCAGATTTTCAATTATGAAATAGTCTTTCAGCCGCTCAACTAATATTTATTTAGTACCTACTGTGTGTCAGGCACCAGTTTTCATGCTGGGGATAAGTGGTAAACAAGACTGCATTTTCATCTTTAAGAAATTACAGCAGGTCTTTCATTACAACATTGATGAGATGCCGTAGGAACTTTACTCTGGTTTATATTTAACAAGCTTGTGATAAAAATAGGTTTTGTTATATGCTGCTTTGACACTTCCAAGAACCTATCCATGCAGGTTAAATGAGGACTTACTGTATCTTCCACTGGGAGGAGGTTTGACAATAACCGTATATTCTAACCCATAAGTGCATTTCAGACATGGACAGCTTCTGTGGAAAAGATAAAATAAGAAGATGTGGAGAGTGACCGGGTTACTTCTGGGGAAGGCTTTGCTGACCCGATGACATTTGAGTTGAAAATCGAATGATGAGAAGGAGGTGGACACATGAAAATAAGGGAAGACACTTAAAGCAGAAAGAAAGGCAGCTGCAAAGGTCATGAGATGGGAACAGACATGTCACGTTTGAGGGACAGAAAGCGGCCAGACTAGCCAGAGAGTGAGAAGTTAAGGGGAGAGTGGAGGCAGGTGCGTCAGAGAAGTCGTGGGCCTAACTATGAGGGATCTGTAAGGACTTGGTTTCACTCTAAGTGTGATGAGTCATAGAGGGACATGATTTGGTTTATCCTTTAGAGAGATGCTGTGGGTACTGGTTGAAGGGTAGGCTGTTGAGCAAAGGAAGGGAGACTGACTAGGAGTCTAGTGGTGGGGATGGTCAAAGATGATTGAATTCCAGTCTGGTTTGGAGGTGAGTTGTTTAGGACTTACTGATGAATTCATTGTGGAATATGAGGGAAGGAGGAGCTAAGGATGACTTTCGGGATTTTGATGTGACCAACTGGGTGATGGTGCTACTTTTCCTGGGGGAGCTTATGGAGTGAGTAGGCTTGGGGGGGGGGGGATGAGAAATCAGTAGTTCTGCTTTATCAATCAGTAGTTGGTCTGAAGCACAGAGCTAAAAAGAATAACTTTAGAATCCTCAGAATATACTTGCATTTTAAAGCCACACACTGGGTGAGATCACCCAGAAAGAATAGAGAAGAGTGTAGGCAGAGAAGAGAAGGGGAGCCTTTGGAGAAGGAGGAACCAAGGAAGTGACAGAAAATCCAGGGGTTTGTGATCTCAAGGACGCTGAAAGGAGATTGCTTCCAAGAGGGAGTGGTTGGTCATGTCAGATGCTGTTGAGAGGTCAAGGAAGAGGAGGGCCAGGAATTTGCCGTTGCCTTGAGGAGGGCTTGGACGTCCATCCTCGTGTCATGGCAGAAGGAGGTGGATTGTGGAGAGGTAAAAGGTCAGGGAGGACAGAGCTGTGCTGTGAAGGGTGACAGAAATAAGATGGGGAAGTTTTATGATGTTAAGGTGTGTTTGTTTACTAGTGGTAGTGATTGAGTGTTGAGGATGAGGTTGATAATGCAAGGGCAAGCAGGGATGGAGAAAGTACTTGAAAAGGCATGGGGGGTGGGGCCAGGGCAACCTGCAGGGTTTAGCCTTAGAAAAGGAGCAGGGTTACATCTTTATGTGGTGACAGTGGAAGCCAGTCCATGGGCACAGATAGGGATGGGGAAGTGACATTGGTGGTGGGAAGAGGAGGTTCCCTGGTTACTTCAGCTTCATTTTGGAAGGGTGGGAGAGGAAGGTCATCAGTCCAGGGCTTATGGGAGACCTGAGGAGAGAAGAGCAGAAAGATACTCATTTCAGAGTGTGGGGAAAAGGAATTTACTAGCAAAGTGTGGTACGATTGTATTGTAGGCGTGAATTGAATGCTCATTTGATATTTTGGTCAAAAATTTGAAGTGAGTACAGTGAACACAATTGCCTGACTTTTTTCTGACCACCACTTGGGTAAGCAGATGTTTGGTTTTACTAGGATTAGGGTTTTGCTGGGTAAGTAATACAGGAAGAGAAAGACAGGGAGCTGAAGGAGGTGATGGAGAATGAAAAAAGTGAGAGGCCAGTGTCAGGAAGAGGTCACAGAATCAGAGGAGAGAGGAGTACCCTGTGTTCAAAGTGGGGATCGCCAAGACAGGGTGGTGCATCACCAGGCCATAGGATCCAGTGTGGGTGCTGTTACACTCTGCTAAGCAAATGCTGTGTACTTAGAAGCAGTTTAAAAAAGTACTAAATAATAGTACCTCATAAAGAAACCTTCGAAAATACAGAAAAAAAAATAAGCAGCAGCAGAAATCACCTATAATCTTGCCAGTTAAAAATGTTAGAAGTTAATCCTCCTAAGCTTTCCTGAGTCTCATGTATTTCATATTATTTGTTATTTTGTTGCCTGTTTTTTTTCCCCACTTAAAAATATATTGTGTCATTTTCCCACATCAGCCTACGATGTGTATTTGCGAGTGTATTTAAAATTTTTATTGGTTTTTCTGAATGGGTTATACTTAGAGTAGGTTCAGCTTTTATTTACTTATTTTTAATTATTATTTTTTTTTAATCCTGACCCAAGGATATTTTTCCACTGATTATTAGAGAGAGTGGAAGGGAGGGAGGGAGGAGGGGGGAAGAGAAAGAGAGAGAAACATCGATGGGAGAGAGAGAGAGAGAGAGAGAGAGAGAGAGAGAGACAGAGACAGATGAATTTGTTGCCTCCTGCAGGTGCCATGACCTGGGCCAGGGATCGAGCCTGCCCTTAACCTGGAATCGAACCTGCGACCCTTCGGTCCACGGACTGATACTCTAACCACTGAAAAGAACTGGCTAGGGCAAGTTCAGCTTTTAAGTGACAGAAGTGAAGTATTTCCCTCCCAGTCTCTTCCCCAGTTCCCTTCCCAGAATCTGTGTCCTAAGTATGTGTTACATGTGATTTTTTTCCCCTTTTTAAAAGACATATGACAGGTAAATAGATAAACTGTTATTACCTTTGTATCTTTGATATGTTTCCATATCCATCATCCACTCACCATGCATTAGTCCTGGATTTGATGAATGCTCTATCAAGTGCCCAGTGCTGTTGTGGGCACTGGGGCTTACAGCAGTGGACCACACAGAGTCTATGCCCGCTGCGGGGATAGACAGCGAACACACAGTTGGAGTGTGTCAGATGGGCTGGACTAGAGCAGTAGGATGAAAGCAAGAGGCAGTGCCTTTGTGTTTGTGTGTAGGATGGCAAGGGAGACTCTAAATGATAAAGTGTCATTTAAGCAACTGCCAGGTGGATATCGGTGGGAATAAGGTATTTCAGGCAGAGAAGGAATGTATCAGAAATTAAGAGTCACCTCATTCTTTTTCATGATAGTATAGTACTCCATCAACTTACACCATGATTTGTATAACATGTTCCTTGCTGATAGGTACTTATTATCCTAATCTTTACTAGTATAAATAGTGCTTCAGTGGTACATGATATTTAAGAGCTGCATTGTATTCCATTTTATAGTTTTCTTTATTAAAATGCATTGTTGGGTGTTTAGGTGATTTTTCTGTTTTCACTATTATAAGTAATTCTGACATGTAGTTGTACATCCTTTTTGCACATTTCTGATTGTTTGCTTGGGATAAATTCCATAGAAACAGCATTGTTAGATCTAAGTATGTTGCACATTTTAAAAGGTTTTGGATCTATAATAACCCCTCTATCCTTCTCCCCTCCTCTCTGTAAAAAATCAATAAAAAATATTAAAAAAATTTTTTTTGCCAATTTGATAGTCAGAAATTGTTATGTTATAGCTTTACCTTACATTTTCATTACTAGTGAAATTGAAATTTTTTGTATTTATTTGGCTGCTTGTATTTATTCTTTTTTTAAAAAATATATTTTATTGATTTTTTACAGAGAGGAAGGGAGAGGGATAGAGAGTTAGAAACATCAATGAGAGAGGAACATCGATCAGCTGCCTCCTGCACACTCCCCACTGGGGATGTGCCTGCAACCAAGGTACATGCCCTTGACCAGAATCGAACCTGGGACCCTTGAGTCTGTAGGCCGACGCTCTATCCGCTGAGCCAAACCGGTCAGGCTGTATTTATTCTTTTGTCAATTGCCTATTCTTGACCTTTACTTATTGTTCTGGAGGTGCCGGGTAGGGTATTTTTATTTCTTATTGATTAATAATTATGATATTTAACAGTAATAACCTTTTGCCATTGCACATTTATTTTTGCTTATACTTTGGGTATTTTGGGGGGTTGTGGGTGGGGAGCATGGTTTTAAAATACGTAGGCCAACCTTTTAAGATTCTTATTTAAAAAAATATATATATATATATTTTATATGCCCAACATTTGTTTTCTAGGCTTTCTGCATCTCTTCTATTGACTTATTTATATGTTTACCATATTTCACTGACTTCAGATTTTATATTTTTCACATTTCAGCGTCTTTAAATTTGGAATGCATCTTACAAACAGCTGTTGCCTGGAGGGAAGTTGAGTTCTTCTGGACATTGTTTGCATGTTTTGGCCGATCATTGGGGGCACTGCCACCCTGCGCCTTCTGAAGCGAATTTCTCTGAGAGTTTCTTGGGCTCCGCTGCTATTGTGAATTCAGACACAGAATTTGCAGGCAGGACAGGGTGGGTGTACTAGTTCAGCCACCAATGTATCCCCTCCCTCCATCCCCATTGTTGAGGAGGAGGTGTGCAGATTTCTCTGCCATCCCTTCTGCGGGACTAGTTATTTTTTCACCCTTCCCTGAGGCTGTAGCCATTTGGCATACTCACTTTTTGTGCAGGTCTCTGTCTCCTTTTAGGTTCGTATCCTGGGCATCTTTTGTTTGCATGGTGCGTAAAATAATGGTGTATTAGATTCATTGAAATATGGTGTTTTATTATAACTTTATAGTTTTTACTGTCTGGCAGTGCAAGTTATTAGTATGCCATAGTCTTGGCAATGATTCCAAATAAATTTTGAAATTATTGAAGTTCCCCATTAGTCTCTCTTCACAAAACGAACAAAACTCAAACAGTATAGCCCTAGGATTTTAATATCACCTAATATGAAAAAGTAACACCCTTTCATTTCACACTTAATTTGTTCCTTGTTCATTGTTTTATTTCTTCTTCTACTTGGTTGTAAAATTGAGGCAAGAACTTAAGTTCCTAATACTGAACTAATACTATGAAGTAATTAATTTAAAATATTAACAATTCAACGTACATGGTTCATTCAAGGAGAGATCAATTTTGCTGAATTCTTTTATGTTTACCTCATTTTTTCCTTTCTAGAATTATTTTTAAGCCCCAGATTAACCTGTCAGAAACTTCCTTTTACTCTCTATACTCACCATGATATGAAGGTCACCTGCTATGAACCTCACAGAATGTCCCTGTCTGACTCCTGTCCCTTCCCTCTGGTGGCCTGTCTGTCTGAGGATGTGCTCACAGGCTTGCTTTTTGCCAGCCCTCACAGTGTGTTCTTTGGGTCCCGAAAGGAACAACAGTGCATTACTATATTATTACTGTAAGCTTGTGAGATTCACCAAGGGTTCCTTTTTCTTTTAAAGACTCTTGTCTTTCCAGAAAGTCACCATATAAATTACATGGCTGAGAAAATTCTCAGAGGACATTCCCATTTATTCCTGGGATGGATTGACAGACAAAGTGATGAGTTGACAGTTGCTCAGATACAATTCTCAGATGTAGGGATTCATTTAGAAGAAAACATACAGAACAAAAAGACAATGGAAACAGGACCACATTTGGACAGTATAGATAAAAAATGTAATCATTGAAATGATGCAGTTAAAAATGCCTCAGTTCAGTTGTCAAAGTGGTGTGTGATGTCAATGAAGAAATACAGCATGCAGAAGGGTGTTTCTGTTTCTTAAAAACCTGTTGCAGTGGGCTGTTAGACTTGTGTTTTTTAAATGTAGTATGTTCTTTTATTCAAGTATGGACTGCTTGAGACTATAGTAGTATGAGTTAAAAAACCTTGTGTTCTACTTTAAATGTGAATTGTTCTGAACTGCTTTAATGCAGCGTCACTGTATTTGTTAAGAGACACTAACCACAGCTACTTATATTCCAAGTAGAATCTGAGGTTTTGATAAAGCTGCGGAGGGATGGCTGTGGGAGGAAGGACAGCGCCTGACTGACTGCGCGGCCATCCTCTGAGGCTCTCCCAGCCCAGCATGTCGTTTCCTGGGGGTGGGGTGGGGTGGGGTGGGGGTGTGTGTGTACAGGGTGCTGTGCAGTCACCCTGTCCTGAAGCTCCAGGTAATGTGAGAACCAGACCAGAGGATTTTTGATTTTTTATTTGCTTTGTATTAATTTCATTTATACCAAAGTGTTTGAAAGTATGAAATGTATTGTTTCTAGACTATAAATCAACTTCATGAAAAGACTGTTCTGTAGTATTTCATTTTGTTTTACTATAACTTTAGATAATCTTGACTCTTTTCCTAATACTACATGGAGATACTGATTTTTCTTCTTTTGTTATGTAATAGAAACATTTTACACTGTTTACATCGTTCTCATGGAACATAGAATTTTTTAGAAGCAACATGTAATACACATTTTTGTGTATACTAATTAGTGTGAATAAAACAGTGACATCAATGCATCTTTTTAAAGTATCAAACTTCTGTATTTCTCGTATCTTCCTTAAAAGTTTGGCATTTATTTACTTTTCGTTGTGAGTACGTGCTATATATTATTAATGCATAGCATTTGCTCCTAATAATAGAATTAGGACAGTAGAATTGTAGAGCTGCAGTGGACCCCAGACAACGTCTATTCCAAGCACCTTGTGTGTAGCTGAGGACTTACTTGGCACTCAGTGCCGTCTGCAGACGGCGAGTACAGGCCTGGGCTGGAGCACAGCTTCCCTGGCTCCTCTGTCTTCACTTCTCCAGGCCAGTGCTGCTACTTTTAACTTGTTCTCCCTTGATTTCCCAAGGCTGATGAAATTCAGAAAAATGAGGATTATTTATGTATATTGTAATAAATTCTAATGTGATTTTGCAATTTACAACTGGTTTTGTCTGTGTTATTCAGCCTGTGTCTTCTAAATATTGGGCAGAGGAGGAGTACTGGGCACAATTCTGGAAGAAATGTGTTCCCTCCCAGGTTCAGGAAACCCTGTGATTTAATTTTAACTCCAAGAAACGTGCTCCGCCTGTGATATTTAATATATTGTTAGTGATTTCAGAGAGGAAGGGTGAGGGAGAGAGAGAGAAACATCAATGATGAGAAACTGATCAGCTTGCCTCCTGCACACCCCCTGCTGTGGATCAAGTCCCCAATCCCAGTATGTGCCCTGACCTGAAACGAACTGTGACCTCCTGGTTCTTAGGTTGATGTCCAACCACTGAGCCACGCTGGCTGAATGCCTGTGCTATTCATATCACTCTTCAACCTCTTACAAAAACCTCTTACAAATAAACAGTGCGTTCCCAGAGGGCAGTCTCCACTTATTAGCATACTAGAGGCCTGGTGCACAAAAATTTGTGCACTCGGGGGGGGAAGGGGGGCCCTCAGCCCGGCCTGTGCCCTCTCGCAGTCTGGGACCCCTCGGGAGATAACGACCTGCTGGCTTAGGTCTGCTCCTGGGTGGCAGAGGGCAGGCCCAATGCCTAGGTGCAGCCCCTGGTCGGGCTCAGAGCAGGGCTGATTGGGGAGTTGGGGCGCCACCCCCTGTCATGCACAGAGCAGGGCGATCGGGAGGTTGTGATGCCACCCTCAGTCATGCTCAGGGTAGGGCCAATTGGGGGGTTGGGGCACCGTCCCCTGTCACACACAGAGCAGGGCCAATCGGGGTTGGGGTGCCGCACCCTGTCACACACAGAGCCGCAGGGTGATCAGGGGGTTGGGGAGCTCCCCCCTATCAGGCACAGAGCAGGGCTGATCAGGGGGTTGGGGCGCCTTCCCCTGTCACGAACAGAGCAGTGTGGATAGGGAGGTTGTGGCCCCGCCCCCTGTCACAAACAGAGCCACAGGGCGATCAGGGGGTTTGGGCGCTGCCCCCTGTCATGCTGATCCCAGTGCCGGGAGGCCTCGCGGCTCCGCTGATCCCGGTGCTGGGAGGCATATTACCCTTTTACTATATAGGGTAGAGGCCTGGTGCATGGGTGGGTGCCGGCTGGTTTGCCCTGAAGGGTGTCCTGGATCAGGGTGGGGGTCCCCACTGGGGTGCCTGGCCAGCCTGGGTGAGGGGATGATGGCTGTTTGCAGCTGGTCACACCCCCTTCAGGGTGGGGGTCCCCACTGGGGTGCCTGGTCAGTCTGGGTGAAGGGCTGAGGGGTGTTTTCAGGCTGGGGGTGACTGAAGCTCCCAACTGCTCCTTTTTTTCTTTTTTTTATTTTATTCTGGGCCAGCTTTAGCTTTGAGGCTTGGCTCCAGCTCTTAGGCCTCTGCTGCTGAAAGTAGGTTTCTGGCCTTTGCTTACAATGTTGCGATCCTGCTGGCTGAAGCCCGGCATACTAAAGCAGGTTTCTGGGGTTTTGTTTAGCTTCTATATTTGTTACATAGTTGCTTAGGGTTGCAGCTCAGAGCGGCAGGCGGGGAACGTTGGAGTCCTCGGCAGCGGCAGGCGGGGAACGTTAGAGTCCTCCATCACTGAAGCAAGCAAGCCTCATGTTAGTTTCAAGCTGCCTGGCTGCCGGCCACCATCTTGGCTGGCAGTTAATTTGCATATCTCGCTGATTAGCCAATGGGAAGGGTAGCGGTCGTACGCCAATTACCATGTTTCTCTTTTATTAGATAGAATGGTTCACTATTGTCATCACCATGCCTACCATGCCTATTGTCACCTAGTAACTCACTTTCCAAATATTCATTGAATAAAATAAAAAATAAAAAACATAATTTTAACACTTGGACAAGACCTTGGAAGATGATATAGATCAGTGGTTTGCCAACTTTTAAAAGGCAGGAAAACCTTTTTTCAAATGAAAACTCATCAAATTTATCATATAAACTAGATGAGAGTATAGCTGCTGAGTAAAGCTTGACATCCTCCCCTTTTTTCCCAGGAACCAGCCCCTGATCTAGATCAGTGCCCTTCTTTTTCTCAGGAGGAAATCAAGTCTGCAGTTATTCTGATTTCAAAGGAACGGTTTGGGACAAACACTAAACTTGTCAGAAAGTCATCCTAAAGCAGATGAGGATGGTGACCTGGGTCGCGTTTGTTAACATGGTATGGAACGAGAGGAAACTGCTTTCCGAGCATGACAGACCTCTGTGTATGTCTCTCTTTCTTTTTAAAAAAACACTAAATTTTTTCCTATTACCATTTATCCCCCCTATACCCTCTGCTACCTCCCCCACACTGCATTCTTGATCTCAAAACCAGTGTGTGATTACAATAAGTGGAAACTAACACATTTTATTGAGTTTTGAGGTAGGTATGTTATTGGAAAGGTTGGTCTGAGTATGTACTGCCGTCAGCCCTGTCCCAGAACCCCAGGGTGATTGGTCTTTAGATTATCACTGTTTTCGGTGTTGACGACTTGATACCTTAGTGCTGTACCATAGTGTTTTCCCAGCAACATTCCGGTGGTTTCCCAGGCAGATTTTGCCACCTGAGAAGAGGGTGATTGAACTGCAGGTACTGAATGTTGGTTTTCTTTCAAGTTGCAGTTCTCATTGTAACCTAGTAGCTGGCATTCGGGCTGAGTGTGAGTCGGGGCCCCAGGACGGGGTCCTCAAAGGGAGCGAAAAGGACTTGGCTCCTTTGCGAGCAGAGGTGCCGTCATGGTGATCCCACTGTTCCCGTTTCCCTGTGAAGCATTGGCCACTGTCAGCTGCTCGTCTCCTTGGTATTTCTGTACTCTCAGCAGGTCATCAGTCTTGTCCTGGCATTTCACCTCTGCAGGCTCTGCACTGCCCTGAGCCTACCAAAACCGGGTCGCATAGTCACGAGCCCTGCTGCACATCTGGTTGCGTTTGTGGCCCAGTTCTCGGCTGTGAGTCCTTGCGAAGATCCTCCCCCCGCTCCCCCCCCCCCCCCCCCGCACTCCCCAAGTCTCAGGAAAGTGTTGTTTGTTGGTCAGTTTCCTGTCATGAAATTCCTCCATCTCATACAGTGCATGTGACAGTGCTGGGCGCATAGTAAGGACTCCAAATGTCAGCTGGTTACCAGCGTTGTTGCTCTTCCTTTGCCCTGAGCACTTGGGTTCGGGAAAACCCAGGCCTTCCGGGCCGGTCGCTGCCACTTCCTGTCCTCCTGGCTTGGGCTTTGACCAGGTGTTCTGTAGCTGAGACAAAAAAGAGAAGCTGACTGTCTGCTTCAGGGGCCTAGGTGTTTGCAGGTTGTGGGGTATTTGTCCTGTGGCTGGCTTCTTTCATTTAGCACCATGCCCTCAGGGCTCATCCATAGTGTAGAATTTACCAGAACTTCCTTTCTTTTTAAAGGCGAATAACATTCCATTGTATTTATAGACCATAGTTTGTTTGTGAACACTGGGGTGCTTGCCCCTTTGGCTGTTGTGAATAATGCTGCCTCGAACATGGGTGCACCTCTGTCACCTGGAGTCCTTGCTTTCAGTCCCTTACAATATGTGTGCCCGTGGATATTTGAAAGCTGCAGAGCATTGAGGAAGAAACTCCCGAGTGCCTTCCATGGTGTCAGTAGCCCTGGCTAGACTGGCCTCACTGTCGCAGCCTCTGCTTCTTAGCCTCCTGCCTCTGATTGTGTCACTGCTTGTTGAGCTTGCAAAGTCCTACCAGCCTGCTGTCGCAGCACTCGGGGCTGCAGGAGGGGGGAGACAAATGAGAGGTTTGCTGCTGCTGCTGCTGCTGCGCTCAGGACTTCCACAAATGTACATTTGTCTATTTTATTGTGTGATTCCAACTGCCAGAATGACCCTGAACAGTGCACAGACTGCAATAAAGCATCAAGAATTGGCTCCTAGGAAAATAAAAATCAGAAGGAAGAAACAGCGGCAGGAGAAAGAAATTACTGGGAAACATTCAGAAGGAAATGCCTTGGCTGTTTTTTTATGTTTCCCCCGATTGTTTAAACTCTGTGAATTCACTGCAGTGTTGCTGTTGGTGTTGGAAGACTGCTGACAGCCTGGTCTGCCAGTGGGAGGTGGTTCAATAAATCACACTCCTCGACACCATGGGACACTGTGTAGCTGTAAAAAGGAACAGTCAACCTCTCTGCAGAGAAAGAGCTACCAGACATTTTAAGTGAAATACAAAAGGCAAATTGCTGCATAGATTGGAGAGTATAATGTCCTTTGTGGGACAAGGGAGCAAACGAGGGGGGGGGGAGAGAGAGAGAGAGACAGAACATATAATACACTCTCATGCTTGTGTAAATATAATGAAACTCTGGAAAGATGCCTAACAAACCAGTGTCAGTGGTTATATATAAGGGTGGGAAGGAGATTGTCACAATATGACTTTATATATACTTTTTATTTTTGAGCCATGTGACTATATCACCTACTGTAATAAAGCGAAAGGGCTTATATTTTCCCACCAGCTTGACCGGCGGAGAGGCTTGACATCTAAATTAAGTTGATTTATAGGCAATAAACAATTGTACAATTTGTTGTGAGGAAAACAAATTTGTTGCAGGCTATTTAGAATTTATCTGTGGTCAAGGAAGCCTACAACTTGTTCTAATTCCAATTCTGGAGACACCTGAGAAGAGAGGGGAGGGGATGGTGCTCAGAGCCTCCCTCTGCAACTGGTCCTGAACTCTGTAGAAAGGAGAGCTTTGGGTCCGAGGTCTGGGGACTGCAGTTGGGCAGGGCAGGAAACCAAAGCCAGGATGGACCAGGACTGGGTTTTCCTTGGGGCTTTTCTCTCCCTCACGTTGCCCTGGGTGACCCAAGGTGGTTGCTGGCACTCTCCAGCAAATGGCTAGACCAGAACTGACTCCTCAGCCAACAGTCAGCAAGAAACTGACGCTTAAAAGCAACTGCCCGGTGACCTTGGATTGGATTCTCCAGTCCTGATCAAGCCTTGTGATGACTGTCGCCTCAGCCTACAGCTTGACGGCAGCCTCGTCAGAGACC